CAGGAAGTAATCCATTGATGCAAGCGACGATTTATCTGCGGGATGATAACTTTCGGAGCTATTTTCCTACGGTTTTATTTATCTACAATGGTCTCGTTTTTAGGAGTTTTAGTTTTCTTTGTTTCGTTATTACCTTTGTTCCAAGCTTTTATTTGAACTGTGACTTTTTGCTGTAGCATCTTCCGTCTATTAACTAGAACCAATTATTTGTGTGCTTATTATTCCGTTTCCCCATCGATAATGTTGTTGTATTGTGCTAATACCATTACCCGGTCTATCTACTGTGTAGTCCGGTCTTGTATATATGTAAATGGATGTTTGAAGTGTAACAGTGATCTTGTACTGATGAAAATTTGCATTGCGTTCTTCCTCTTCTTTCGATGCCAGTTAGTATTGGACCAGACGTCAGGCACCAGGTATCAGTTTCCAAAGTCCTTGCAGTGAATTGGTTATTTAAGGTTGCCCAGGCGCATCGGTCGGTTGCAGGACGTCACACTCATGTGTCAGTATCTAGCCTATAGTCGCGAAAACTGCGCGAAGGCTATAGTGCACCACAAGGCATAAAAAACAACGTCCATCTTTGATCCAAATACTGGCTTATAAAAATGCAAATCCTAAACATCCAAACTTGAGACCGCTAGAAAGCTTGCTGGGTCGAAAACATACAAGTCTATATAATATTTATTGATTCCAAAGAAACACTGGAAACAAAACCCTAATAACCAATCATGGTAACGGTCGGGGGGATGAGCCTCGTTGACCTGAAATTACCCAGAAGAAAGAATGTTTTTCACTGTGTTACACAGAGAACTCATGTACTGCAGGAGTTACACAATGAGCCGTTTTATATCTACCATTACTCATGACTCTTAACAATGACAAAATATGTGTACGACCCTCCCTTGAACACTGCTCTTTTGTCTTCTCTAATATGAATTTCACAGACAAGATAAGAGTAGAAGATGTTCAAAGACGATTCATACGTCAACTACCAGGATGTAACTCGGATCTCGATTACACAGACAGATGTAAGCATCTATCTTTAGAACCTTTATGGCACCGTAGGCTAAAAAACAATTTAATATTTCTCTACAAAGCGATATATGGGCTTTTCTTTCTAACCTCCTGCCAGACTATTACCCACGACCCAGCCTATAGACTTAGAAACAACGTATATACACTACTTACCGTAAAACACCAAAAACAAATGCGTTGTAAGTTCTTTACAGTACGGTACAGTTTATTGTGGAACAGGTTGCCAATGCCTATCCGTAATTGTGATACGTTTATCAGATTCAAAAGGCTAATAACCCTATTTCTAGACTCCAAAGAGCTTCAACATTTCCTTGAACTCCCGCCCAGCAATGAAGCACTTTATTACGGACCGCCTAGTATCTAGTAAGAACAAAATTATAACAAGTTCGACTGTTACTAATATGAGTATAACCAAATCACAGAATATATGCCTTATCCTTTTCTATTATTCATTGTTTATTAATCAAGACTTTATGCTCCTAACCCTAGCTTTCAGTTCCCAAATCTCTACAGGTTAAATGTACATTATTCTTCCTAAAAGTCATGCCTTTCTTCTACTGCAAGTAGACAGATAGCTCAATCTTATGAATGCTGATCTACTAAGGCCGATCATTCAAAGCTTAAAATTTGGCCACAAAGTCTTATGAGTTTCTCAATGTTTTATTTGTCTTACCCTGAAATCTTTTTTTTACAATTTTATACCCTCTCATATCTTTTGATTTGCTAATAGTCTTTACCTCTTTAAACCATTAGTTATTTTCATAGCAGTGTGATATACTATGTGGACATCTAATCCATAAAACAGACTTTTCAACTATCTGATTTGCTTGTAACATGGACCTAGTAGAGACAGTGTATTCCAACTATGGGCTTTGATTAAAGCAGTATTCATACTTACCACAAACGTAAGAGAGCCTAACATCACAAAAGGAGGGAGGGTTGCGTTACTGACCAGCAAACATGAAGGTGGGGAGATAACTTCAATCCACCCATGTCTGTAGGGCAGAACATTTTGTTTAATTACGGCTCCTTATGGTTTAGTGGGATGTCACGAACTTATGGTATAGAAGCTGATTTATCACGCAAAATACCTCTTTAAGTCGTGTTACGAAAGTTGAATTGGTTTCACTTCCTACCCAGAAATCCTATTACAAGCAAACTAGACAATTCGCTAATATACGAAGCCTACTCAAGACCCTATAATAACTGGGGGGGGAAAATATTTTAAAAAAACGAAAGGGGCTCTAATAGCTTCGATAATAAAGGGAAGACAGCCAATTGTATATCACAATACTGTTTCTAGCACCATATTTTATTTTATAATCACACATAATTTTATACTCTCAGCTCTTTCCGAATAGCCCCCATTTGTCAGTTGTATGTCCACTCACACCTTGTCAACACTTATTTTCTTTAACCCATTAAAATGCTCTTTCTTAACATATACCTTAAAGGAAAATTAGAGTGAGTAATCATACCTTAAACATTCCTTCATGAATATTGGCTACTCTGCCTCTGGTGTTTTCTTTTACTTGATCCCTCTTTCAGCCGCCTTGTGATATGGAACTGGTGACTTCATCCTGCACCATCCTTAAAGCCTTGGATATCCCAAAGGGACATAAGGTTGCGATTTCTAAAAGCTCATACCTTCAATGGACCTATCCTTGACCATCAGTCGCACATTCGCAACGCAACTTTCGTGAAGCGCGCCAACTGTAGTACTGAATAAAACCATCTACATTCATATCTTATAAATTATCAACCCAGCTATGTAATTTATTACACTGTATATTGTATCATTTGTATCAATTTTATCTTGCCTGTAAACTGGCATGCCTCATGTAACAAACTGTTATTTGAGAATAAATTATTATTATTAATGACCTTCTGGATAAAATTAGCTCAATGGCCCCTCAAATGCCGACGATGACGAGAAATGGAGGTTCATGAAAGAATGTTCACTCGAGATTCAGTAGGGCCTCCAAACAATAAGGAAATAGGTGGTAGACGATAAGTAGAAGTTAAGCCTATCGGAATGTCATGGCATAAGCATTCAGCCTCATGAAACACAAGCAACCTACGTCCTCTATGAAAACCTGTTCTCGATTGTCTTCTGAAATCTATATCTAGGATGATCAATCAGAGAAAACTTGGGTATGAGCTCAAAATACGTTGTAGAAACAGCCGAAGCAAAGGCGACTTTTCACTTTATACGAGGGTAATTCGATGCGGTCATATTGGGTACACTCCCACTATTTCGCTTCAAAAGTTAGCCCACTCAGAATACTGTCCCAGAAGAAGTGGCATTAACCCTCATTAGTTGAGAGGTTCAAGAAAATATTTGAAATATGTGAATTAAATCGTGGATTATCATCTCCCGCTTGCATTAGCTGTCCTAAGTGCATATCTCGTAACTTACCTACTGTTATCTTCACCCCACATAATGAGGTTACTCCTGCATCGCTCATTACAATACCGGTTTTTCCTTTCATTCTTGCACTTCGATCTACCTACTCCATTTGGAATATTAATTAACTGATTTCAAAGCTTATTTACCTCTCGAAACAATCATCTATCTGAATTCTAATTCCTTCTATATGATTTTCTATGTTGTAACCGACCAACCAACTAAATGCCTGGTAATATGATAGATTCTCATACTCAGAAAACTAGTTTCTTCGAAAAAACTGACTTATTCAGGTTACATAATATAAAAATGCTGAAATAGTTACCGGAAAGTCTAAATGAACTGGTGCAGCTAGGTGGTTCAACTACCAGTGATGGATTATCATCGAAGACCTGGAATTGTACAGGAACAGCCAAAAGCGATTGTAAGAAAATCATTCGGTTTATACAAGCTCATCAAAAGGATATTGTGTATCGGACTGTTTACAAAACGGCGGGATATGTGTAAGATTGCGATGCGCCACGGAAGGCACACTCTACATGTTAAGTCACGAGTTTTCGCGCACATGTGACATATTGTCGTGGATTTTTGTGCCGTTATTTATCAGCTATTAACAGTCTGTTTTCCATCACACGTGAATTTTCGTAATGCTTGTGCTTGCAACATAGTTTTTATTCCAATTTATTAGCAGTTTGACGTATTTCTTGCTCACCATTTAAGTAAATCTGTAGTTAGTGTAATATGGTTATTTTTAACAATACAAAGTCAAACAAGTAAAATTCATCATTTTTCTAGTCAAAAATAGATCACAGATTGAGTTTTGATGGAAATAAAACCTATTATATATGGTTCATCTGCTTGATTATGGTGTCGGTGAGCATAATTGTCCGTAGTCGTTTATAAAATGTAAGTAGAAACAATTAAGCGTTAACCTAAATATAAATATTATATAACTTGTTTGTATTTAGCCATAAAAAGTTATATCCATTATAGCTAGCATTGTTTTGTACTGAAGTGACATATTATTATGTAACGTATCAGAGAAAAATTATGTGAGTAACAATTGAGGTTGATAGTCTTCTAGCGGCTTTCTGAACGCATACAGGAGCGATGTATAACATCACATTAAGTAGGCACAAAAGCTTCATAAGTAAAACGATGAATGTCTCTTCTGAGCATGATGACAAAACCATGTCGTACTTAATACTGATTTATGAAGCACTACAAATAGAGATAATCAATTATAAAAAATCCCTTGCAACAGTAATAACCCAAAGAAATACTACAACTACTTAGGATTTACCTGTGATTTGACATTTCGTTGAGGCTTACTACAGTTGTTGGGACCACAGATCAAATTACACAGCAACAACAGAGCCAAAGTGTACACTACAAAACAGAGAATGCTAAATTAACGCTTTAGGTAGTTATTTCGTGCTTTTTAATGCAGAATAAGATGACTTATATATGAAGAAACTTGATACTCGTGCAATCCAACCAACCCACGGCAATTGAAATACGGAACAACCGCCTCCAGTCAAGCCGTTCAAGGTCGTTGAAACGAAAGAGCGGGCACATTCGAAGGGACTTAACGTTTAAACCGTGCCCCGCGGAAATGTATTTCCAGTTGCTCAGGTAGTCTGTTTTAAAGTTTTCCTGAGCTCATGTAATGAAGTATTGGTTAAACTAGTATTCGTTCTTCACATCTCAGTGTTTCTAAATAATTCCATTGCATAATTCTGGTTTCGATCGTACAGTTGGGCATTAATACATAATTATGATTTTAGAAACCCATATACATTCTAACATAACATAAAGAGGAATTAAAAGCGAACAATTGAGAGAAATAGTGGGGAAAAATGTGTGCATTTAGGCTATGTACAATTCTTGCAGATGGTAAACAACTTCAGTAAAGTTTAGGGGGAGGTTCGCACTTTTTCCCTCGGTATGTGTCGGCTGTATCTACACGTAATTTTCTTAAGGACTTTCCCCAACATTTTACCTAAGCATTCCTCCTCTTTTGTTTACATGGGAAGGAGTTAAATATAGTTTTCGTTGTCAGCTACTAGTAGCTTCCTATGGTGTTTTCTCTCTTCTTAAAACATGCCAAAATACCTGCTTTTTAGAGTTGCATCTACCAATTACTGTAGTTTTTTGGTTTTTAGTATATTTAACTACATTAATTGTGACCTCTCGTTTAGTATATGTTCCAGGATTTTTAATGTGTAATATTCACTGTTGTTAATCTTACTTGGAAATGTAAAATTAAAATACTGTGTGAATTCATCCTGGCTATGTTTATGAAGTTATCGTGCATGGATAGACCTATCGTCTTCATTGAAACTGGTACATATATTTTTAAAGTGTAGTTTTTTACGTTGAACTGAGAAGAAATTACGACATCTAATAACTTAAGGAACGACTGTATCGGCGTGAATTTCAAATAATTTAGACGTGACGTCTAAGGATGAACTGTACTGCTTAGGTGAGACCTTCATTGATCTGCCATTGACCCATAAAATTCGGATTCTACAATCCTGTATTTGATGATGTGTGTTCATGTTTGATTTTTTGTTTGGCGTGTAAATAAAGCGTTATTTTTGCCTCAAGAAAAGTCTATTGTGGTAGTCAGCCGTGCTGCATATCGATATTTTGTTTAAAGGCTTAGATCGGTAATTCCTTTTCATGCTCAACTGTTAGTTCATCACGTTGCGCTACTACACATCATCGATTAATCAACGTTCTACTCACCATTTTAACGATGAAAACGTGCTCATTACCAACATTTAAAACTTATTCATAGCGAGTCTCGTGAGATTTTTTTATGTTTTTTACTGTAATATACTCTAAGGACTTGTGCTTATTGCCTTTAATAATTATCCATCTATAGATGTCTTATTCCTGAATTTATTTTTTCAGTCACTCAAACAATGAATTTTGAAGGAAAAACTAGTAAATTTGATCGTCAAGCTATCCATAAAAATGTTTCAGTCAGAAAGCTGAAAACAAAGACAAGTGAAAAAAGTATTATCTGGACAAATGTTACTCTTCATATTATTCTATTTCTTATGGCAATAACAGCTGGTTATTTGCATTGTTTTCATGTTTCGAATTTGCATGAAAATGACCTGTTTTTCTCACATTTATCCAATTTGGAGCGTGAGCTGACATTTAGGACTGAAATGGGATTTTACTACTCCTACTTTAAACAAGTAAAGTTCTTCATTTGATTACTTAAACGTTATTAAAGTATATATTTGAATAATCATGTTTTTATTCCTTATTTTGCGATGTACTTATGTGGTTTCATTGTTCTCTCACGATCGGTCACCTGGTTCCTTATATATCCTGTATCCGTGTGATAGATTAGCGGGTTACGAAAACATTGGATAGTTCAGATGTAAAGAATAAAAGTTCCGTCTGTTTTACAGGACTTTTGTCACCAATTTGTTTACAATGTGATACTTTTAATGTACGGATCACTAGATCGCAACTATATGCTCTTTTGGATTCTAACTCAAAAAGATCAGTGTCCTCGGTTCGATCTTGTATGTGATCATAGAATTATACTGTTAGTAAATTCAAAGCGAGGATGAAACAGTTCCTTTTGGCTTTCAGTAATTCTTTAATTGACACCGATTTGGAATTCGAATTGTTTAAGTCAGTTTAGTATATAGAAGTTACTTTTCATAAAAACAATACATGTCATAAACTCATGAGTATGGAGTTTTGATGTTATTTCCTATACAAATTGTAATTACTTCTTGAATAGTTTAATTTTTCGAATAACTTTTTGTTTAGATCGTTTTAGCATCAACTTTTATGGAAGGATTCAGCTCATTGCTTACTGATACTAGGACTGAATATCCGCCTTGCTTAAGCCTGGTAAATGATACAGGTAATTTCAATTACTTTCATTTTTCACACCTAGTGATAGGTACTCAAAAGAATAATCAATGTGCAAACCTTAATTCTATTGAACGATTTAATCTGTATCCTGAATTGTTGCTAGCTGGTGCTTACAGATTCTTACACACATTCGATTTGATCAGACATTACTGTTTTCAAGTTAAAAGAGATCCACCGACTAATCCAATCGCGATCGCTATAAATCCAAATATAATGGCAAATTTATCACTACTTAGAAAGTGGGTACATGTAGTTTTGATGCATGCGATATTATTATTATTATTATTATTATTATTATTATTATTATTATTATTATTATTATTATTAATGTTATTATTATGGTAAGACAATGAGGTTTCAATTCTAAAAATATATATTTGCTGTTGCTGAAATCTAAAATAAACAATTACCAAATGGTTGTGTAATGTTAAGCTTTTGTACAATTTGAAATTAATATCATCAAGTTGATTTAGTTCAAGATCATTTTTATTCAGAATCATAAATATTGAGAAAACTGTAACTTGTGGAAATATCTTATGAAGAATTATTGTTCATATTTTTCCATTGTATAATCCGTAGTGATTTATATTATTGTATACTTATATTTACCTAAGTGTAATCTTTCATTTGGAGCACAAACTATTATTGTATGTTTCACGTTATTGTTAATTAATCACGGATCTATCACTTAGTTTCTCTTTTACTGATTGCGTAGTTATTTGGATATTGTCATTTCTTATTTGCATTATCATGCGGTCAGGAAATTACTCCATATCATTGTATAAGTTGACACATTTGACTGAAAGGCTACACAGCAAAGACCTTATCTGCTTGTTAATGTTCATCATTTGGTTAGATCCTGGTGTTTAAGTAGCTCGAGGACTGACGAGAGTTAAGGTATTTGTTGTTCTTCATTGGTCACTGGGTTATTGGCAAAATAGGTCATCAGTTCTATAGGCATAGAACGAATAAATCAATAATCGAATTAGAATGTATTGCTGTTTCTATAATAACAACCCAATCGTGAACCCCAATACAGTACAAGAATTTGTTCATTTTTGGAAATATGACATCTGTCCAATTAACCCACTCAATAAGATATGTCTACTGTCAACAGTAACTGCGCAATGTGACCCATTTCTTAAATTTGGCCAATATATCACTAACATGAATTGTCACGTTAAAAGCAAACATTTATTGACCGTTAGGTATAAATTTTACTTTAATAATTCCGTATTCTCTCAGAGGAGAAAATTTTTGTTATTTTGTATACTTTATTTGAAATCCAAATAAGTTTACAACTCTTTACTGCCCCAACTTTCAGCGTGATACTATTGAGATGAGGAAAATCCAATTCATATTGGTTCAGTCAACCATAAGTGATGTCAGTCTCTAAACTTGGACAAAGTGCTAGAAGACTAAATTTATAGTTGACATAGTCGGTTTGGATGGAGGGATTCCAAGATAATATTATCGTCTACAAACTAGTTGTCGAAGGGTAATTATGAATCGGGAAAAAAAATCAACCACCAATACTTGTTCACTATGCTCAACACTAAATTTCGTAACCACTGCAAATCTCTTTTAGTGATGTCTTATTTCGAAGCGTAAATCTCTGTTTAAGGCTATACTGTTGGCAGGGTCGAAGTTTCTGAACCTCAGATTTGTGTTTACCTAACGGCAGATTTGAAATTGGAATCTTGAATTTCAGACTTGATGGAAAATATGTTTAGATGTCTTTTACCAAGGATGAACTTTTAGTTTGCTGCTTTTGCTAAGTCCATGCGTCAAAAACTACAGTACTGAGGTTGTATTAGAGTTTGATCAATGTATTGAAAAATGCACATAGACCAGTACTCATTTAAAAAATTCTTGGCAGTGATACTCGTTTTTTGAATTGTTATTGCCGAACTGTTGAATCGTTCATACTCATTAGTAATATTACAATCTGTGGTCAATATGATATTAATCATTTGCAAAAACTCTGTCGTCATAGCATTCTTGACATTGTATTACGTTTTCTATATAAAATTAAGAGCTATTAACTCATATTTCGCTCGTAACTAGTAACTCCCGAGCAAAATCTAACACATACTTTCTCGTGGTGCTTGGGTAATAGTGAGGTTGTGCCTAACGAATCAACACGAGCGATTGACGGGGATCCGCCTTATCGATTACTCTGTTTTGATTTTCGAATTAGTCAGTGTTTAACATTCGACGGACACATGGGTGGTCAGCATTTATGTGCATGTGTGTGCCGTGAGAGGTATAGGTCGGTTTGAGTTATGTCTTTCATGTGTAAATCTAATGTATATTTCAACAAAAAGCTGTCACGGGAGTAACATCTAGACTTATTTACGTGCTTCGGAATGTATAGGTCCCTGACTTACATATTTCAGGTGTGTATAAGATATATAATTGCTAGGAATAAAGAGCTGGAAAACCACCTTACTATTGGCAATAACCAACTAATATCAAGCTCGACAGGAGAACCTATCAGTTGCATATGAAGGAGTTCAAATACTTCACTTCTACGTGAAAGGGCAGATGCTTGGAAAACATACTCAAAAATGGCATTTATTAACCTATTACAACCACAACAGACCTTTGAAGTTGTTATTTTGCAATAAAATAAAGAGACGAATTGATCCTGACTGCTATTATTTTGATTTGGTGTATATGCAATTTAAACCCATATGATCCTTTTTTACTGAATGAAATAAAGTCATCACTTATAAAATAATGCTTCACAATAAGTGTTTTAGAGAGAGAGAAAAAGGTTTTGACTGGTAGCGAGTATGTATGTGTTTAGTCAAGGTTACATATGGTGGTACACCAGCTGTGGTGAAAAAAGACAATTTCATTGAAGTTACAATTCGATATAAGTTATACCACTGTTAAAAATCTGGAAGCACTGGATGGTCTTTTCCTTCTCGTACGGTAATCCTCAGGGATTAAACATTAACACCGTTGGATACCGGTTCAGTGGTCTAGGGACTAGATGTTTTCGCGCGTGGCTGAAGGTTCTAGATCCGATTCTTTGTCCTTCTAACACTTGGAAGATAATTGACTATGTTTGGTCTTAACATTTGGTGATTGGAATACTGGTCATACTTAAATGAATAATTGATGCGGTTCTGATTAATCTATAGATGACATTTTTTCAGTACTATTTAGCAAAGAATACCTGTCGATTGGTTAAACTAAAGTTGTTTTGTAAGTTTAAATATGGAAGAATATAGGTTAAATGTAAATATTACTAATGCATAGCTGTGGTTTCATGCTTATATATTATAATAATTGGTATAAATATAGTTTTTCTGTCTTTATAGACATTTTGGCATTACACTCCAAATTTTATGTAACAAAACATTTGATATTACAGTATCTCCTTGTCTTGCTTTTATTGTTAAGGCTAGATGTAATACCGTCGAATCAATTGAAGATCAACAGTACCTCGATTATAAGTTGTGATGGATCTGGCGAACCGCCATATTTCTATGTAAATTCAGTATTCATTTTGTCAGGTCTGGTACTTTTTGGTTTAACTTACTCTGGTTGGTTTGTTGCTAAGATTGGGAGTTCAAATCAATCTAAAATGGATCATATACTACAGCTTATTGGCGGATTTCTTCCAATTTTAGCGTATTTCTCTAATCATAGAGAAGCTACACGTGTTCAATGGACTCCACCATTGAGAGAAAGCTTCGCTTATCCATTCTTTATAATTCAACAGTCTTTTTTATTAGGTTATTTTGGATCAAATCAAATGGTAAATAGACTTAGTTTTCCTTATCTTTTTAATATATAGTTATGTAGTTGTAATGCCTATTTTTGAATTCTCCGCAGATGATTCATCATTTAGTGTGGTTTCCTTAAAATAAATCAACCCGTACAACTTAGCAATTAATTAATACGTAAAATCTGAAATTATAATATAAAGTATGTTCATAAGTAAGATATAACGCATCGAAACAAATAGTAAGAATTCGCAAACCTTAAATCATGAAACATCCACCGGTCACTTAACTTATATTCTAGGCACTTGAATATGAACCACACTCTAACTGGGTGGGCTAATGTTACTCACTTGTCAGCCTAAACTAAATTAGGCGGAGTGGAGTGTTGAGCTTGTTACTTAGTGGATGGAAGTCTAACGGTCAGTTGCACACTGCTAGAAGCAATATCACGAGAAAATATTTATTTGAAATAAAATCCAATAAGTATATATAGACGCGAAAAGGATCAAGTTAGAATTAAGACCCTGAGTGGTGGCTTGGCACGTGGTACTAATGGTCAGTGGTCCCCAAGATATTACAAAAACCAATAGCTAGATGAATAGATTCTTCATGTAATAAAGTAATGCGCTTATATAAGAAATATGAACAAAACGTATGACAAAATATAGTAAGTGGTTAGAGGAAATCAGTCTGTAGGCCACTTGTTCTCCAACCAATTTAGACCTGACTGTTAGTCCTAATAGTAGTGGAAGCAAAATCAAATCAACTTATCATTACTCAAAGTGGTAAAAATCGTAATATTTCACATTATTATAAATGCTAAAAAAACTCAAAAGAAATTAATTTGATTTCGTATTAAGAGTAAGGAAGCTGGTACATACACTTAAAACCATACGGTTACCATAAGTTGGGATAACCATCTTTCTTCAGTGTTTAATAAAAAGAGCAACATTTAGCATTTTCCCGTTCGTTTAGTGTATCAGTGCTGCATGTAAGATGGTAATTTGCACTAGGGACTTCGTTTAAATAATCTAAAGCCATCTACATATGTCTTTTATTAATGCGTTACTATTGCGCATCCCAACTTGCCGAGTGAAAAAGTAAAAAACCTGAGAGTTTAAGCCTGAAATGAAATTCCCAATTAAAATTCTGCGCTTACACGCAGCGTTCATCCACTTAATGAACAAAAAATGATGGATATTAAACATTGAATAGCATATGCGCTACAAATTAATGTACATATGTGATATCCCGGCTCATAGACGCCTAGAGTGGGAAATTACGGCAGGTTAAGACAGATATTCATGTTCGTTGTTTTCCCTCGTTCTATTTACTTGGTAGACTAAAGGCTTCTGGTACTCCTTCCTAAGACCGTATGCTTACCTTTTGGGTACCTTGCTTACTATATGAGTAAATAGTGAACAAAATCTGCTATTTTCCCCTCTATTTCTGACCAATAACCAAAATTTTGGATAATGCATTTTATTAGATAAATACCAGATTTGTATTTCTGACGTTTCGTGACTTTTTCAGAGTAGTGGCTTACATTAAGTCACGAAACGTCAGAAATACAATTTTTCTACTCATTGGGATATAAAAAAAATATATATTTATTAACTCTACCCAATGCTCAATTCATTTGAAACTATCAAGTCCAACTTTGGTATACCTATAAATAACAGAATGCCGAATATACAACTGACGAAAAATATTAACGTATTACAATCCATTATTCAAATATTTGGCAATCATTTAAAATACAAAGTTAGTCTCGTCGATGAAAAACTTGTCGAAGTTCAGTATCCGAACGTTTTATTCATTTACCAGTGACAAAGCTTATCACTTTCTGAATTATTAAGTCGCTACTCCGTTGATATTCTCAAATATTACCGGTAGAAATCGGATTTCGATTTACAAATAACCTGGGAATAACTATTTTTCGGTAGTGTTCATCTAGCCTTGACTCCTCATCCTCGTGGGTGAAATCTTCATTGTATCAGTGCTGAATCTTGGGATCACAGTCAAATAGAATAAATGTTGGTCCTTCCAAGTGGTTTACTGGTATACTGTTCATGAAGTTGAACATAATAAGCTACACTTAATGATCTGTCAGCCATACGAATTTCTGTTCATAAATGAGTTTATGGAATCGCTGAATAGAAAAAGTTGTATATTGCCTACTTTACTCTTTGATTGTATTCCCCTTTCTGTAAAAACATATGAGATGTCATTATACTTGCGCTGTAGCTTTGGAGACTACTGTTTATCATCAAAAGTATCGAACTCATCGTAAATCTAAGCTTACGAAAAAAAACAATCCTGTCTGGTAAAGATGACAGATGCACTGACAGTAAGGAAGTTGACTAGTAGATGACAAGTCTCGTAAATTATTCGAAGCAGTAGTATATCCTTTGACACTAGTGTCCGTTTGATAGTACATACATTCTAAGGATAATTTCTTAACTACTCAGTCGTTCTGCTTGTTCTTCATTTTGTATATATATGAAATTCTATGCAAGTTAGTGTTTATCGCTTAAAAAAAGATGTATACTTGTTCACTCTGACTATAAATAGAACTACCTAAATTATTCAATGCACTTCTATTGTCCTAAACAACTCTGTAATTCTTTTTTCCTACTTTTAGTTACGATCATATCGAGGGAAAAGTTTCATTTGTTTACCAATATACTGTATACTGCTATTGAGTTGTCAAATTTCATGGCAATTTTCCCAATTCGCTTTACTTACTCAAATTATATCGATTATTTGTGCCTTTTGTTTATCACTATCATCAAATACCCCTTATTCTCTTAGTTCAAACCAACAAAAATCAGTTATTCTAAGCCTTTTATTCAAAATAAAACAGATCATATGGATTCATTTAATTGTATTCAATTTATCATTTATATTACAATTTGGCAATCGTTTACTTCTACAGTCTGGTTATATGTTTATTCTACTAAGTAGTTTATTAAGTGTATATATACTTCAACAACTATTAAATAGTAAGTGATTTGTTCTTTCTTTGTTCGTTTGTTTAAAGCAATTGAACAATTTATTCGTACCATCAAAATGTGGCGGGGATTATTTGTTTGTTAATGTTATTCCTATTAGTTTATTTGTTAAAGCTTAAATGTAGTAGTGTTTCAACGTCAGATCTGGGATTACAAAGATAGAGCTTGAGTATTAATGAACAGTATAAAATGCAGTATAATCATTTTAGTTAACTAAATAGCTTCCTTAAACTCTTTCTGAGCGTTTTATGTTGATGGATTCGAATCAACAATCTTGTATTGAAGTAGTCACACCTACATTAAACCAATGAGAATAATAATTTTAAAAGTGGGAGTATTCTATTCAAATAAATACTAATTTATTTAATCAATCAATGTAATCCACACTATCAGCATTATTATGTCCGGCAAATACCACGTGACGAAAACTCCAATCAGAATACCGACTTCTATGACCCTATCCTGTGATAAAAAAATGACACGTTAACCGGCACTAACAGCCTTGGGTCAACTATGAATCCTTATTGGTTCCTAATATAGTAGCTTCTCGTCTAGCCCTGTCCGCCGAGTTCAGAACACAGTATCCGCCTATACTGTATGAATAATATATTTCAGACATGTAGTTTATATACAAGCGTACCAGACCACATCACACCATCAAATAAAAAATAACAAATATACAGGATCAGGCCAAAATTGTTTGTGAGTGTAGGAGGCTGTAACTAATAGACCGGGAATAAATTCTGAACAGAAAATCGTATAACAACAGTCAATTGGTCAAGTGAAAAGTTATGGTAAAGGGAGTATAAATATACACAACCTAGTCGCTTAATAATTATACGATAAGTATATATATATAATACATAAGTCTACAAATAATTCATGGAAGTTGCCACTCATTTATTCTTCGTTTGGACGTAAAAAATTCCAGTCGATGGAGTCCCTAGAAGGACGAAGCGCGCGTTTTGAATCTCACTATCAGCTACTCTCCAACCCTGCTTTAAATGCTTATGACTTAATGAGAATATCAAAGCAATCTTCAGAAGATGTATATATACCAATAAAGAAACTGATCAATTACAGTCTTTATTACCAATAACGAGAAGATTCAATACGACCCGGTAAAAATAAATTAAAACGAGATAATGATGTCTGTCATTAGTATTATATTTAATACAAACTTTCCTTTGTTCCATTTCCTTTTTTAGCCTATAATCCATTGACAATTAAAAAGAAAGAAGTATCTACTCGATCATCAATGATGAATATTACATTTATACGTTTTCTATGCTTACCATTATTGCTTGTCTGTCTATGTACGATCGGATTAAGTTTACTATTCTCAGTTTTCTCAAAATATGCTTTCAATAATAATTACGATTTAAACAGAAATAATAATGATAATCACAATGATGGGGGCCATATATGGGATTTATTAAAGCATAAATTAACCATATTATTTGGTATTACAACTTATAAAACATTTCATACAATGTTGTATATATGTGCACCAGAATTTGATTTTATCAATGTAAGTAATGTAATCCCTCTTTTCCCCCTTTCTGTCATATACATATTGGTTCATGAGTGAATATATTTTTCTAAATGGAATAAAAAAATTTTTGTCATTTTCTATAAAATGTTTTTTGTCACAAAATACGTACACTTTCATTTAAAATATAAACAGAATGGCTTTCTATTTTCAAAACTATTGAACTGTTCGGCCTAGATTTGAAATGATAGCAAAAGTGTGTGAAGATGCATCAGCTGAATCGAAAAACACCGGTGCTGAGATCTATTTTCAGTGTGCTACTTCGCACTGGATATTGGATGGAAGCAAGATTACAGAAATATACATCAGATTACCGGATAAAAGCCAACATTCGTCAAGAGCCAGAAATACGTCGACTTCAGGAACGACTGACAGCAGCTGCATGCCAAGTACTGAAGCGACACCTGCGCACTCCCAATGCAATTGAGCCAGCCGATCGTGAAGAATGCAGTGATTGCGATACACATTCCCACGTACAACAGTCCAGTAGCCGTCTATAATTTTACAAAACATGAAGGCCGGACATTGAGTGTTCATGGAAGCCCTTCGTGACAAAAAAATATAATAACATTAATCAAATTACCTCCTCCGTCTAATCCGCTGTGACGAACCGCTAGATCTTATACGGCCATTTCTCCAACACACAAATTTAATATACGAATTTTCACCTCTGCCCAAATGCGAATCTCTCACTACATAATGACAGTAAGTCGATCTTTCATAATTTGTGATAGCGGACATTAACGCTTCAAGCGATGGGAACGCAACGAGAAACAATGTTGTCAAAAAGACTTCCTCCGTTTCTGTTACGTGAGAAACAACAGCGCTTGTACTCGGCACGTTACTCTCCTCCATAATGATGATTAAAATGTACTTCGTCGACAAGTACTGATATTTTATAACAATTCGACAAGACAACTAACCAATTAAAACGAACTTTCAGACTAGTCATTTCATTGAACGAAACGGGATGAAAAATATTGTAATTTTGGGGTTGAAAGATTTTTTAATGGGGTGGGGGGAATTTTTAAAAAAAATTTCACAAAAATTGCCCGGCAGATAGTGAAAACATTAGATGTATATATTTACTGATAACTGCGTTTTATGATTTAAACTATATTATCATTCTGTACATCATCATCAACATTGAACCACTCAATTCAGATATTTCAACATCTTTACGGTTATGGTATAACGGAAGAATGAAATCTTCAATGCAAAATACTTTTTGCAACAAATATGTAAAGACAGATTACAGTATACTATTGTGTAACTGACACTCATTAGCCGTATCTAAAGTCGACGCTGGCTTTCATTGACAATCGGGGACTCAAAGCACAAATATATGAAAGCTGTTACATTTTAACAAAGATTTAAGGAGTGAATGTAGACTGAGAGTAACTTTTACAAGTGTTGAGCGATTGTAATCGCAGTAATGAATATAATGGATGTTACTAGTTTATGTAAAATTTGAAGAACATTATACGACAACAGATACACAGGTTACACACTAGATGCTCTAAAATTATTAGAAATGACACTAGCTACTGAACATTGTTAAGTAGTATAAGGTATTACATAGAGTTGAATAAGAATAGGGTTAAGATAGAATGCTAATAAGCTTAAAATATATTTTTCATACTATTGTCTTGACTTCTCTTTCTTCAATCACACCAATTTGTTCTTTTAATTTTTTGTCTACTAGTGGGCGACTTTAAAACAACCTCTTGAAACTGGTCTTATATACGGTTCCATTCTAGTCTGCTTCATCGTTTCTTTTAAATTATTCAGGAACTTGTTCAGTTCTCATCGTCACCATCATCTTTCAGTTACTGTAAATAACCAGTTGTTTAACAGTGATAATTTGTCAAGCTGTGAATATTCATTTCAAATATTGCGAGATTTTATTTCATTATTAGTTATCATTCAGGTAAGTGAACTGATGTACGAATGTGTATATCTTCACTTTATTTCTTGTGATTTTATATTTATTTAATGGATTATCTCAGGATAATCATGTAATAATTGATGTTAAATACAAAATTCGATTCAGAAAAGATAATACATGTGCTGAAATTATTTTATTTGTTATAGTTTCCATTTTTTTCGAACATATTCAACTGACAAATCAATCCCAAATGGGACGAGACATACATTCTAGATTCCGCTGTTTACGATTATTCAACTTTGATATAAAATCTATTGCATTTGTTTTTGTCTTTTAAGATCAGCATAAAAGATTAATTGTACCATTCGATCAGTAGAATGGACGTTCAGAATTGTAATTTTCTATCAACTAATCTTCCAGCATGAGAATTTTGCTATAATTATGGACTTTTAATATATTAATGGTTTCGAAAAAGACTTATTTGCAATGTTAATTCCTTTAATTCTAATCATTTATTTATGTGCAATGTATTTTCATTACTAAATGTCTGAACTGCCATTAATACCTGACATTTATGTAGAAGTACTGATATTTTGATGAGTAACATATATAGTGGTTTCTCAAGCGATTCATGCTACAAGTAACAGCGAACGAACCAAAAGGTACATAATTAATTGGTTATAATTTAGGAATAGCAAAACATGTTTGTGCAGTTAATATGTCTATTGTGAGCTTGGAATAAAAAGAACATACAAATACAGTTATCTAATGATTACGTGTAAATGATAATGATCTAAAAATGGTCCTGGAAGTCCCAACTTAACCAATACTCGTCTCGTTATAATGTGAACTCAATTTTCCATCTAAGTATGTAGCATGCTAAGAAGTAAATATTATCTCCCTTTAGACAGATTCGAATCGGTGATGGCATGATTACCAGGACTCATTCTTACTAAAAAGGTAATCACTGCGTAAATTATTGGCTTTTAACATGAACTCCTATTGTTCCGGCGATATACATTTTCTATTCCCAGTCTTAAGTCTGAACAGAAGAACATAATAGGAAAGCTTCTATTACTAAATTCCAGGCCCCCGTTATATATATTGGTCAGATCACTATATACCTTGAATATGAAATCATATTTTACGTACGATCATGCTATATGTGGGACAAAACAGATAAAACAATACATAGTTACCTATCAATAATTAAGGAATAATAAAATGTATAACAGTGGTTGATAAGTCCACTTGAAGCTTGCATTTCAAGGAGTATAGCAGTCTAATGATCTCAAAATTGAATGGTAAAAATATAAGCAATATCAGTCCGTATAGCAGTTCCTAAAGTTCAAAACTACACTACTCTCTTCGCTACAATAACTTAGAAATAAAGTACGTAATATACATATGTAGCCCACTTCTAGTTCCACATTCCAACTGTTCTATAAAACTTGTGATGAAAATGAATTTGTCGAGGCGACTCTCACAGGATGAATGCTTGTCAAAAAATTCTGATGAAAATTTAATCCTAAATACCAACAACGGGATAATTAAAATCCTGACTAATATTGATGTAAATGTCATTCTCGTTAGACAACTTAATCGTTATCTAGTCTCAGTAGCTCCAGCAGATAATGTATCGGGGTTCGGGACTAGGGGTATTGAGTTTCAGTGACAATGCCAAAACCACATTGGAATGTAGGTTCATTCAGTTGACAAGTATCGAACAGGAAGAAACTCACTTTCAGAATTCCGTAGCTAGTTACAAACCATCTATGTTATATATCAGTGTTACCGAGAAGCTTCTCAAATCTCCCGCCTTCTAGAGCTTTCTGAAGATTGTGTGGAACTGAAGTTTTCGGCTTTGTGGAATTTACATTTTTCAGTTAACTTCATAATCAAAACCACATTATATGATTGTCATTTGTCCAAAAACTCATAGGTCCATCCAGGATACATTCCTTTCCAACTTGTTTCCAATTTCTGATGGCTAGGACAGAAACTAAACTAGTGTTGGTACAATTTCTAAACGTATATTATTATCTTGTCTATGGTTCTGCAAAATTTTATCATAGTAACCATGTACCTAAGTTGTATATCATGTCATAAAACTTATTTGAAATAAAACTTCAGTTCTTACTCTTAAATTATTTTTTAAAAATTGCATGAATTTACGGCTATGTAGTTGGCGATTTTTACGATTATGGCTATGTTAATTATGAGACTCAAACTGTTCTGGACACCTCAAATGTGTTTATCACTCGCTATATTAGCTCAGCCTACGCGATGGTTTGAAATGTTTCATGAAGTGAAAAGCATTGGTGGCCGTATATTTCGTACATCGTCATTGAATAGCGACTGTGAACCTGAAAAAAAGACAAAACGTTCATTTTGGTTTCATCATGTTATTTATACAACAATACTAGTATTGTTCATAGCGTTTATGGCTGGACGTGGTTTGGAGAATTTAAAAGTTAGTTGTAACTTTTACTGTCAATTTTTGAGTTCCACTGCTATTACATTGTTGACGTCGTAAGCTTTTTTTAACCATATGGTTTTTGATATCATGTAATTAAAATAAAGTAAGAGCTGGTATTGAGATGGTGGAGAAGATTTGTAGCTCAGGTGGATGATTTTGGCGGAGTTTTGTTCTCTGAGCTGGATGGTTTGGTCATGGAGCTTTCATCGTTCTTCTGAACGATATCATCAGCACAAACTTCAGATAGAAGTGAAGTGTTCGAATTTCTCCATATGTGTTTCACAGCTTGTTCTGTGCACCTCGATGTTGATTGGTTCTTGTTGATCTTAAATTTATCATTGTTTACTTCTTTGTTTTGGTTGTGTCTCCCATTGGTTTGATTTTTGTTCCTATATTTATGCATGATTTTCCTGATTGGTTGATAAATTTATTTTATCAGAAACCGCAACGAGACTGCTGAAAACCTTCAGTCCTATGCAAACCAAAGGATGAAATAACACAGGAAAACAAATCAAACATCATCTACAAAATAAATTGTACCAACTGCGACAAACACTACATCGGACAAAGCAGACGCCCTACGCTTACATAAACATCAATTAGCAGTCAAACGCCATGATATCTTTTCACTTATATCAATACACGTGGATAACTACGGACACGCATTAGATTGGGAAAATGTAGAAATCTTAGACAGAGGAAACTCCAAAAATACCAGAGAATTTTTAGAAGCCTGGCATTCAGGTCAATCAGCAATCAACAAACATTGAAATCAATCCAATTTATCAACCAATCAGGAAAATCATGCATAAATATAGGAACAAAAATCAAACCAATGGGAGACACAACCAAAACAAAGAAGTAAACAATGATAAATTTAAGATCAACAAGAACCAATCAACATCGAGGTGCACAGAACAAGCTGTGAAACACATATGGAGAAATTCGAACACTTCACTTCTATCTGAAGTTTGTGCTGATGATATCGTTCAGAAGAACGATGAAAGCTCCATGACCAAACCATCCAGCTCAGAGAACAAAACTCCACCAAAAGAGCTGGTATTAATATGGGCCCAGCGAAGTTATCAAACTAGATCAGCAAAATGATCTATAGAAAAATATTCGAAGTAATGCCCTATGATAATTAAATCAATAGACGTCTAGAATATGGCTCAAAAATGAATGGTTGCGTGGAATAAATAGTGTGAACCAACATTGGAACTCTAGATCTAAGGATAGATGAATATGGGCCACTATGACCGTTTTGTAGCAATATCACCCAACGTCAATCATTGGTCGTGATAATCTTACAGACAAACTCCGGTCAAGATCCTTGAACCCTCCCACATGATTCAGTTAAACTGTCAATAACTCCATGGGACATTGTTTGATGCTCTACATTATCGTCTGCTTAACCTCCATTATGTCTAGCTATATTCACAAGCACAGAAATTAGTCTGTAGAAATTTCTTGATGTTATTCCTGGCTTTAGTAATGGACAAGTGTTTTGGTGATCACTTGAACTTTTAATTATTAATAGACAGTTTAGTTACTTATTATCATCTGATATTTGTCAAATTATTGCTATATATGACCAAATTATTTCTGTTTATGATTTTGTTGATCTTCATCTAATTAGGTTGTTGAACCATTAAGCATTAAAAAACCATGGGACTTCATGGTTCAGTAATTTTTTGTTACGTTTTTTCTCGTCGTTTATAATTAAACGTTTATCCTGATACAAAGTTTGATAGTAATGGCTGACACGATAGACTTCACTTACACGGCTATTACCAGCTGGTATAGTTAGTCAATCTGAATATTCTTTGTTTTGGTAAAAATCTATTAAAAAACTGGAAGTTGGAGCTAAAAACAATATAATTAATAGATTTTAATACACCATTTGTTAGCTGATAATGATCACTTAATTTGGGATATGGCGAAAAAGAAAAAATCAAACATCTACAAAATAAATCGTTCCAACTGTGAGTACTCCATCAAACAAAGTGGGAGTGCTCTTCCTCGTCGTTTGCACGAGCACCTATGCTGTTATGTATCTTTGCTTAAATCAATACACATACGCAATTGTGGGCACATATTGTACTGCGGAAACGTTAAAATCTTGGGATACAAAGAATATTAGAAAAATTTTAGAAGCTTGGCGCTCAGGTTAATCAATCTATAAACACTCAAACCGACTCAGTATGTCAACCAATCAGAAAAATCGTGGACAACTACAGAATCAAGAATTGGGTCAAAGGGGATAGACAAGTAAAATAAACATGCAGACAACGGCGGGTTAAAGGTTGACAGAACAAACTATCGGTCTTTTGTGGAGAAATCCGACTACCTCACTTCTATCTGAAGTTTGAGCTGATGTTGTTGTTCAAAAGAACAATGAAAGTTTTACGATTAAGCCATCCATTCCAAAAGACAAAACTTCACCACATAGACGTATATATAAAATAATCCAAAAACTAACTAAGCATATTCATTTTTGTGATTCATATTTTGTACTTTACTTACGAATTTACTTAGAGTGTGACGTGTGAACAAGAAGCTTATCATTAAATACAAACATTATATAATCTGAAAAAGTCCAAGCCAGATTGATGAACGAAACGTTGGAATTATTTAAATAGCTAAAATTATTCTAATACAATTTCTACATTTAATGTCTTCTGTATACTCGGCGCCCAATTTATACCAAATGTTCACAGAAAGAATCTTATCATCCTGTTATTCTTCGTAATTTCCTAGAGTTAAGTGATTAGAATTAGTCACACTTTTACTTGATTATATTAGTATTAATAGGTCATCTTTTAACAAATGAACCAATTTATAAGCCTCATTTTGTACTGACATAGTTTTGAGAGAAAATGTCTAATAGCCAACTAAATCTTTGATCAACAGGACAAGCTATTAGTTAATTTTGAAAAATTCCTAGTAGCTCACTTGTTTTCCAAATGTATCTTGATGATGTTGTCTAGAAATACAATCAAAAGCTGCACAACTCAAAGAGAACAATACTCTTTCTGAGTTACAAATATTTTTGATCATTTTGGAGGAAAAAACCCACTTAATTTAATGTTCAAACTGATGTTATCTTTCTCATACACTAAGTTTTCTGATTTTTTTTATGTTAAATCTGTTAAAATGATTTTCCAAGTTCATGATATTGATAAATATTCCAATTGCTCAAGATAAATATAGCATTCTTACATATTTTTTTTATTCCAATCCTTGTTAGTCTGAATGGAGTATACAAGGTTCATTTAGTGCGTATGAAAGTGAAATATTAATTAATTGGTTTCGAAGTTTACCGCAAAAACGTGAAGATTCTGCCTTATCGTCATCATCCTTATCATGGATTATATCTGGACCAATGTCTTTATTAGGCAATCTACGTTTAACATTACCAGCCTCTGCTCCTTATCCATCTACTCAAATTGTTTCATTGAATGAATCTGGATTTGCTTTTACAAATCATCCACATTATGAGAATACAATACTTCGTTATAGAACTATTTTAGCTTATGGGATTTATAGTCGTAAACCTGTTCATGATGTGTGGCATACATATCGTCATATTTTGCAAGTAAATATTATCATATATATATATATATATATATATATATATATATATATATATATATATATATATATATATATATATATATTTACAGAGAATATATCCTGTTTTTTTTCTCCACATTCACACTGAAAACTTTGTCTTAGTTAATTTTCACTGTAATGTACTTAAAAGAAAATATTTAAGCAAACAGTTACCACATAGTAAAGGTTTACTTGCGGAAATCAAACGCATTACACAATCTCTCAACGAACCACAAGCTTTTAAATAGTAAAAGTAGTTCCTATTTAATCCTGGACATGAAAGTATTCTGTACCACTAAACTATATACTGCTAGTGAATAAATTGTTTAATTTAATCTACCTTGACTTAGGTAAGATATTTATCATTCCCAAACGCTTATTGCATCATGGCGTATTTTTGTTTTGCATACGAGATCGATGACTATCACAGTGGGTATTCTGAAATACATACACTCTCTGTCTTCCCTTAAACTAAGAGATTAAAATCGCTTCATATCTTTCTTTCTACGAACCAATTCTTTCTTCCTATACTATATCCTTATATGCAATCTTTCCTATATATTACCACTTTTAACCTAACCACTCCCATGAATCCGGTGTTCATCTTGCTGTACTAACGAGGTATGGCAACCTGGACCGATGCATATATGTGCCTGGTCCTATGTTGTAGCTGACTGACTGACTGATTCTGAAATAATAACATACTCCAAATAATGGATTATTATTATCATTACTGATGGCTTTATTTAATATTATATGTTTAATGCAATATGGAATTCTCAGCACGAAGTATTCCAACTACTCCCTCTCATAAAAAATGAAAAGACAATAGATAATTGCAAACACATATACATGGAATAAGTAAATTATCTGGAATTAAATGAGACATTTTTTTAATAAGATAAGGATCTATACAACCTTATATTCGCAAGATATCCAAGAATACAAGTTCTTGACTAGTTGGTTACCTCTCATAACCTGTTCGTCGCATAGTATATGCGCTGGATACTAACGGTGTTGTAGAAATTTTATAAGTTTGCTTGCATTCATGGATTCTAATGTTCAACTGAAAGATATAAAAGAAATGGTCGGTATCTGATAACACTTGCCAAGAGTTTGTAAAATTTTAAATGTCTATTCGTAACCATATTCATTATAACCTTATCACATACCGTTAGCACTGTCCGCAACACATCAAAATCTTTTTTTGAAAGCCCAGAAAGGAATGATAGGCACTATCCAACAGTTTATAAGTCGTAAAATTAAATGTCAAGTAATGTCAAAAACATGTAACCTCTTTATATAAGTCGAACGGAAAACTTCCTTATGTTCCAATAAAATATGAGATCAATAGAGATCAGAGAAAAAAATCACACCATGATAATCGACCTTTGAAACTGTTTTTATTATATAATATCCAATAGTACAAACCTTATGGAGTTCGAATAGGGTGCATAAATGTTGTTCAGGCCTCAGACTAAAATGAACAGTTTAATACTTACAAGGACTAAACGTGAAACTATCAACAATAAGACACCATGCAATTAGCTTCTGGACATTATTGAATAGCAAAATATGCTACGCAAAAATTATCGAATGAGAAACGAAAAGAGACAATTATTAATTTTACACATACATTTTGTTTGAATTTCCTGTTGATGTTTAGGACTGCAATAGACCAATCTCTTATCGGCACGTGTGTAACCTATGCGGATTGCCTCGATAGTGCCGTAAGTCACAAGCATTATAGGCAGATGGATGGTGGCTAGCAGTAGGATCCAGGACGGGCGTTTCGTCCTATACGTGACTCGTCAGCTGGACGCACTGGCATTCCAGTGTTGATATTCACTCCGGGACTCGAATCCAGTACCGTTCGCTTAATGAATTTATGAAACGATCACTCAAGAGAAAATTCCATTCAATCTAATCACCTTAAAAGGGTTAGAGTGAATTTCCTGGTAGTCCATGACACTAATCACTTTTTTGCAACGAAATTCTACTTCGATTTTTTTATACATTTTTTAATACTGTAAGACGAAACCCGGTCGAAATAAAAATTTCGTGCATCGCCACCAGCAAAACAAGCTGAAATTTTGTGCGTTTTTATGATTTTCCGTTTGCGAAATTTCGAATCATAATATAGCTAAATTTACTTTATGTTGTGGTATTTTGAATCTATTAATATATTTAAAGTGTATGGTAATGAACTATTTTGTGCGTTACTTAACATATTGGGTCAGTCAGAAATCTGCCAAATCATTAGTGCACTTGATTGGCTGTATATGCTGTGAATTTAATTTCTCGTAAAACTGAATCTGAGAAGCTAGACCAAACGTTTTTAGATGGGAAAAGTGATATATTGGCCCAGTCAGAAATCAATCCAATTATGAGTCAATGTGATTGGCTAAAGAAATAGTTTTCATTTTCTAGGAATCAGACACCATAGGCGGCTTTATTTTCTAAGGAATATAGATATGTACATGTATCGATTCGGCTGTCAATAAACTTTATTTCAAACTTTCAGTCTGTACACTTAATCAACTGGCTGTACTTATGTTTGAAGAAGGGTGTGTATCAGTATCAACTCCTGAACACTGCAAGTCCCAACATTTCTGAATTCTGTTGCTCAGAACATCTACTTTTATTCGACTGTTAATTGAAAATTTTCAACTGATTTTTTTTCAGGCTGATTTTGTAATAGTAGAAACTCATACATGTCCGTCTAGAGGTGGATGCAGTAAACCGGAACTTTTTGATCTACTCGATACAAATCTTGCTGGACGTCCAGCACTATGTGAATCATTAATGAATATACAAGTTTTAAAAGCTGGCAGAACTCCAAGTACTTTGGAACCATATTTTACAGTTGTTTATGTTGAACTGTACACAGGCAGAGTTGTACTATATGTGAATAAATTGACGTAATATATAATGGAAGCAAGTAGGCTACTTACAGATTTAAAGATTATGTACAGTGTCGCCATGAATGTATGTTACCCAGATGCTCATTTGTGATTACAATGTAAATCTCTTTGTAAACACAAACTACTAATCATTTCATTTTTAGAATGTTATTAAATCTAATATTATCAAAAGTTATGCATAGCATTTAAATAAACGTTATTTGATTGTTGTTTACAAAATGTGTATTTTTCATTTCTCTGTAAAATAAGGTCACTCATGTCTTTGAAACAAGTGAATAATTAAAAAAACGAGTTGAAATATAAACAAAAGAGATTCAAAAGAATTTTAATTAAGAATGTTTAGTCTGTACAACATTGAGGAGCATTCACCTTGCTTTAATCTTCATCTTCTTCGGATAAACATACACGTTCTACTATACGACGTTGGGGTTTAGTCTGAGCCTTCTCCTTGCGTTTTTTCTCGGGTAGAGTCTTCGTTTGATTCGGAGGCTTTTTCACAGATTGCCTCCGTCGAGTTTGACGTAGTTTAGGTAATTCAGAAAGCAGGTTATTTTCATCTTTCGCTAATGCTGTATGCTGTGTAGTGCTGGGAGCTTTAAAAAATCGATCTGTTGTTCTTTGATTTCGCAAGCGACTGGCTGCGTGACGAACGCGCTTACTTGGTACCGTTACCTAAAATATGAAAAGTCCGAAATAACCACTAATTAGAACACCTAATGAAGTTTATTTACTTTTTTTAAGGGATGTTAATGATCTTACACGAAGATTTTCGGGTGTCAGATATAAACGCTTTGCTGAATTTCAGAACAAAAGTTCTACAAGATTTACTGGAACACTGCTTGTTGAAAACTGTAATATCCCAAAATAGACTGTCACTTATTCAGTTAATTTCGCTCATTTGATACACTAACTTGACTGTTAGGACCGTACATAAGTTCAGGATAACGAACTGAATAAAGTTAGTCTGTAAGCATTCAACATCAAGTTAAGGTTTCAAAGCTATGTTCTCACCGATTCTAAATTAATCAAACATTGACTTTAGTTAGAAATCTGATATATATATATATATATATATATATATATATATATATATATATATATATATATATATATATATATATATATATATAAAAGACTAAAAAATAATGGAAATGTTAAAGATTGTCTGGTATTGCTTACCAGACCTACTAATAATTAATTATAGTTCTCCAGCATAAAATACAACTTACTTCATCCAACTCTGATGAATCAACGGGATGACTAGTAATTTCTGATTTTTTGCAAACCTTTTGATTCTCAATCTGAAAAAAATTTGTTATAAGTGATTTGGACGAAAGCATTTCTCTAGGATCCCCAAACTCCATATTTTGTCTATGTTTGAGTACAGAAGCCAATATAGCTTCTGTTTTTTCAGTATTCCATCCCAATAAGGTATTCACATGTGTGTAATAGAAAAAACTAAGGAAGAATAGTAACAAACTTCTATTGATTCATAATTAGTATTGACACGTTTAGAATCGGGAATTAACATTGTTCAATTTATCCACTTGTAAGTATTGGATTATTTCCATTTACTACAAACATTTTTTGGGGAGGCAGTTTCCACCTGACGATCCAGGCATAAATGATTAAATCAGTTAGTAAGGAGTTTGGATCCTCGTTTGGATAGTCTGTCATAAACGACTTAGTACATATGTATATATTGGTTCAATATTTGGTCGATAAATCCACGTCCAGGTCGGGAACCAGTCTGATTTTCACAGATTTACTGTTCACAAGCCCTAGTTGAGTATTGATTGACTACTGAGCAATATTTTAGACACCAATTCCTCTGTGTGAGTAAATTGATATATTTGTAATATCCCAATGAGTAGAAAAATTAAATTTTCTGATGTTTCGTGACTCAGTATAAGTCACTTCAACTGTGGTTATCAAAAAAGTTTCATCTTTTATAAACTGGGACGGTAATCCGTCAACACCTGTCAAATTAGAATACATCTAGTTCCTAAGCTCTATCTATAATATCTCAGTCGATCTAACAGCTGAATTTGAGCTCGTTTAAGCAATTTAATAATAATTGTGGTCTTCACATAAGTATGATACCAAGACTACTAAAAGAGCATTTCCTTAGTTGCAATAATTACTTAAGTCACTCAGAATAGATCTAATTCACATTGCCTATAACTCAATTTTAATGATCCATAGAGTTTTCAAGTCAACAGAAAGATCCTTGATAAACAAATTTACCATTAAACTTTCTTTGCACGCCTATATCTTGACAGCTTTTTCTCCATTTCCTTAGGACAACTGCATATTCACGTATACAATCTGTTTTACAGCTAAAACTTAGTTATTTACAATTGGAATACACAACTTACACTTAACAAGGTGAATTTCATAAACCGTGCTTCACAAAAAAATTAAGCATTAATAAACATTAAAGGCTATAAAATCAGTGATTAACACTGAATGAAGAGGGTAGGTAGGTTTTTATTCACTATCGTAATGAATCTACCTTTATTTACCTTCATTCATACGATTTTATGTGGATAAAAGAATGGATAGTACTAAAGGAAATCATCTTACGATGTCGATTTTCGAATATTAAAGACTACAATTCGAGATAGTGTGGAAGATTTGTATTTCAGATGGAGTTTTGTTTTTAAATTGGATGGTTTAGTCGTGGAGCTCTCGTAGATCCCCTGAACAACATCATCAGCACAAACTTCAAGTAAAGGTGAAGTGTTCGAATTCCTCCATGTATGACAAGCTGTGAGTCATATGTAGAGGGGTTGGAACACTTCACTTCCACCTGAAGTTTGTGCTGAAGATGTTGTTCAGGAGAACAATGAGAGCTCCACAACTAAACCATCCAGCTCAGAGAAAATCACAACAATTTATTGTCGTAATTTACTCATGTTAAAGTCATCCGCTAATATAGTTGATGTTCTATAAACAAATAGGAACACTTTCTAGTTCTTTTCTTAACTAGTTGTGCGACGTTCTATTTTCTTCAAAAAAAGGATATTTGACAAGAAGCGGTACATTTGGTGGTTCCCATTTAAACGGCGGCAAATCGGTTTTGACATTTGGGTAGAGGTAAGCACGTGCAATACGGCTATCTGGAAACCCTGATTTAAAAAAAAGAACAGGAAACCGTTGTAACGAAACAATACCTTCTCTAATGTCTCTTAGGCCCATGCAAATGTATGAATAAAATCATTTATACTTTTATACAAAAATTAATCGGCTATGTGTAACTATCCTCAGAAGAGCAACTAACGTGCTTAAAATTCCCAAATGCCCTGGTACGGCCAAGGGTGGGGAGAGCCAGCTCTCCCTCTCGACAAGCTCTCACACGGCCACGCGTATACAACCACTGTCAGCGAAATCCTACTCACTGCCTTCTAGCGGTGGGGGTGTTATTTACGAAGTTGAGAGGACGGAAATTGAATGTCTGGCGCTTTAACCGGGATATGGAAGATCCACCTTGCGGAGTTGAAAAACCCTGATTCCAAACCAATGATCCACATGGGCTCTAGGAACCTGAGCAAACAAAAAGCATGTGAACTTATTGTTAGTCACTGGCTACTATGGGACTGCGATCTCCTTACGTTACTCCACTGCTTTATGGATTAGACCTTCAGGTCAAACGCTCCTGGTGTGGCCCCAGTTTCGGGACCCGGGCAATATCACAGCCCTCACACAAATCAATGGTAATCACTATTGGCATTATTGTTGTTGTGTGACGCATATGTATTTGGTTCTCCCTTGTACCAATGTTCATGTGTTCAAATAAATAAATTGAGGCTTCTAATGTGACGCAGTGAATATGAACTCGAATAAACCAGACGTCTGTCAAACAACAACTTTTTAACTTTAATAATATACAACCGCTGATATAAAGACAACATCCTATGTTCTAGAATAATTTTATAATTCATACAGCAGTCAAAATACTGAAAAAGAATAACTCTCATTTTATAGTGACATATAATGACTACTTTAGAGTACATATAACAGAGTAAGCATGTTACAAACGATAATAACCATTTAGATGACAGAAAAGATCATTAGAGAAATCTGAATTAGAAAAATCTCATTGTAATCATATTTTAAAGAAATAAATGAAATGTATGGCGATAGAAAGACTAAATGACCTGATTTATTCTTAACATACATAGAAAGCACAGTGAGTTTTCACTTGAAATCAATCAACATCAAACATGGTTTAGGGAAATTTATAGACGAACTAATCAGATATATGATAACAGGTATTGGAGTTTGACGCGAAATTCGTTCATCCATTTGGCTAAATAGCGTTTAGACGTTTTTGGCTGATGTCAGTTCTTGATGAAAAGTCTAAATCTAGTTCCTAACCAACAACTGTAAATTATAATATTGATTCTTCACATTGGTTTATAACCCTCATCTAATCATACTAGCGTCACTTAAAGGTGGTCCCATAAATTATAGTCTCACTGAAATTTTAAACGGAAGATATACATAAACATTTGTTTGTACATACCTGGATATGGTTTCAAATTTATCCAACGACGTCTAATTGGATTCGATTCAGCTATTCGAAGTATTTTCATTGATTCTGAAGAATTTTGTGAACGTGTAGTTTGCCACCAATGTCTAAATAAAGATAGATTTTTAATAATATATAAATTACACACTAGTGAATCATTCTTATAGATTAGATAATGAATTTATATTGTTTTATGCACATTCTATGACTGTTATAGAGTCAAGTTTCAAAGTAGTATTATTAAATGTACTATGAGATTTTATAAGCAAAGATGGATATAGTGGTTAGCCGTAAAATCAAGGATGCGCATTTCCTCCTTATTTTGGACTCGTCAGGTGGGTGAACATGCATCTCAGAGTTGACGTGTAATCCTAAACATCAATGGGAAGATTCAAACAAACAATACAAAATGAACGAAACTTTAGTTTGTAATGATACTTTGGTTTTTCCCAGTGTATAAACAGGCAATTTGAAATTTTTGTGAAACTCAAGAAATACCGTGAACTATTCATAGAAAGATAAAGGATTAAAAAACAAGGCATCTGTCTTTAAACGAATTAAACTTTTCAGTGACAGCTTTTGAGTACTATAAGGATGGGATAAAAAGATTGATTACTAAGTTCATGAAAAAAGATTGAACATTTACTGTCTCTTGTTTTTTCTAGTTGTTAATTCAATGTTCAGATGAATGCTAGTGAACTAAATATTGAGAAATTATCTGTGGTCATTATTATCACAAAATGCCGAAACAGCTAAAAATTCTGATTTTTGAAGATTTTCAGGGATGTTTTCAATAATATAAAAAGAGATGGAATATAACACGATAAATAAGAAAATACAATAAGTGACTAAATAGGATATTTAAAGTAAAGCATTCAGGATACCAAGTGCATGATTAAGTTGCTATGTTTTGAGAACAGAATGAGATACAGTAGTTGTTATGTCCTAAGATTGACCAATGTACATAAATGACCTTAAGCAACCAATACGCAACAATGACAAGAAAGACTGATACTCTATACTTGGCGCTTGGTCCAATATTAACTAAACCCAAACGAAGAGGAAGAACACAAGACCAATGATCACCAGTCCAAGATCGTTCTTATATTTTAGATAGACGTAGTTTATGTACAAGCAGACTAAACCACAGCACAAAATAACACAAGAAATAACAGTTATACATGATCAAGCCAAAAAAAGGTGACTGAGAGTAGGAGAAACTGTGAATAACAGATTGGGAATAAATTAAGAATTAGTACAGGGAAGTTCCTATTCTTCTGGTCTTCGTTTAGATATAATAGTGACAGTTCATGGGTCAGATGAAAACTAATGATTAGGCGAATAAAGTGAACACACAATTCACTTGCTCATAATAACAATCGAAATAAGTGTAGCAATATGGCAAAATATTAGATTGTTCAGTTTGCCACTTTCGTTTATTCTTCTAGTTATAATAGATCAAAAGTTGATGTTATTTATTATATGAACTTGAGAAAATGGGACTTACGTGAATTGTTCTAGTGGTTGTAAGATATCATGAAGTAATTTTTCGGAAGGTTCATTAACAACACCATGAAGCCAGTTGTTAATTTCACAATTTAATGAATAATCATCACCATCATCAAATTCACTTAAAATTTCAATAGCTGTAACTGGACCAACCTGATCAATTCCATGTGTATAATCGCTACCACAGAGAAGCGTCAAACGGAGAATATTCTCTATAGTAAGGCCTAAATATTCCGAATTGTTATGGTAAATGTTGATTAAATTAACTATGATATACAGTTACATAATTGTGATAGTAATCAAAATAATGACATCAACTCGTAAGTATATTTATATTTGTCTATCATTCCATTTATGTATGATTTTGTCATTTAAATCTGTGTAAGTAGGATGAAAAATAGATTGATGAATCTAGTTTCGTAATATACGATTGGTACGGAGGATCCACCAAGGGGAGTTGTAAAACGTTAGTCTTAAAACCAATGATGGGCATGAGCTCAAGAATCTTGAGGAAATAAATAGCGTACGGACGTATTCTTGGTTATCGGCTTACCACGGGATCTTATCTCATGACTTTGCTCTACTACATTTTGGATCAAACATCTAGATCAAAGGCACGAGGTGTGGCATTCTAAGAAAACCACTTGCCTCGGTTTGGACAACCGGGGCAGCATCCTAGCTCACAAATTCAATGATGATTACGAATGAGAAGAAAAGTTCTACTTATATGTTTCCACGGAGTCAATTAAATTAGTAATATTCCAATTTTCTGCCTCAAGCAACAGTTTTGAATACAAGGTAAAGCATCAAACACACGTTGCTGATGTGTGTCAACAGGTGTTTCTAGCGATTACATTCAAATTTAAAGACAAATCATTGTAATATCGAGTTTATCGCTTATACAACAAACAATTCATCGAAATTTCAGTTAGGGTTAAGAAGAAAGTCAAATGAAATCCGTTAGTGTATAATACGAATATTTCCTGATATTACAGATCGATCACACGAGATGCAATGCAATCCAACCTAAGAAAGCAACCTTGTGTTTTTGTTTTCTTCTGACATGACAAAACAGACAGTCCGATGATTACAAAAGAACCAAGTACTAAGTTATAAAGCGTGAATACATACACTTCTGACTAAAAATATACTCTAAATATGAAGTATGGGACGGTGTACACAAGTACGAATATTTTATTATTATGAGTTATCAAACTGTTAAATAATAACGTATAGTTGACAGACAATAAACGTGATTGAACTTTACATTTATTTATAATGGTAAACTATTACATTTTTAGAGCAATTAAGTTACCTAATTTACGTTTTACTTCATCCAGTTTGTAAATGGAAGGATTTGTTGTTCTTTTTAGATTATCACCACCACCAGTACCAAACAAGTGACGACAGACAAGTTTAACACCGAATGGCCATACATCTGAATCATCACTTGCAACTAAATCAACTAGACCATGACGTTGTAAAGCTACACATTGAGCTTCTGCTTCTTCTGGACTAACTACGAATGGAAATCCGAACAAATGAAGTAGATCCTACAAAATATAAGAAAACAGTACATGGTTGATCAAAATAATAATAATAATAATAATAATAATAATAATAATAATAATAATAATAATAATAATAATAACAATAGTAATAATAATAATAATAGAGTTGAACTCAAACATGTCGAAGATAACCTGGTGTCTTATTGTTTTCAAGATCTCGATATTCAAGCACTACTAAGTAAGCGATTTGAATCCTACTCAGTCTACTACGGGTTTATGCAAATATAAGTAACATCACTAGCCCTCAAATAATAGTGTGTTGTCCAAAGTAGAGTGTGCGAATCTGTATTGCACATTTTTCCCTTCACAAATAGGGCACAGGCTATTGTGCATACTATGTGGATATTTGTAATATTTCAATGAATAGAAAATCAAATTTCTGAAAATCTCCTTGGTGCAAGTCGCTCCTTAAGTGAATAAACAAATTATCGAACTAAATTAACACAAGTTTAAATAATACAAAGGAAACAAAGCAGAAAATATGATACAATTGAAATAGGTCGGATCATATCAACGTCACTTCATTTCTATTGAGCTGATTCTGCAGGTATGTATGTGTGACATAATCCTGTGCATTTGTGTCGATTTAAGTAGATGTGAAAAAACATGATATATTTAAGCGTTAATGAGTCAAATTAAATTTATAAGTATTAATGGTAAGAGAAGTGAATAGAATGAATTGAAGTTGTTTGGATAAACCGTTCAAATTGAATAGTTAGTTGGGCCTTCCTTTATATTGACAACTGTAGAGTTTTACAATATATAAACATTTTCAGTTACTTAGCTTTCTTCATGATTGGAAATAACTTTTTGATTTATTCTGGCACTTTTAAAATTAATTTGGTGGTCGTTGAAAGTATCACAAATTGCTATTGATGATTTGATGTGTAGAATTTACAGTTCCATAAGATGATTAAGAGATAGTTTTGTGCAGCTTAAGTGTTATTTTTTGGCAGAAAGTCGAAGTCTCACAAGACTCTCCAATACATAGAAGCACTACAGTAGATACAACCTAATCTATAGATGTAATTCTGTGAAGAAGCACAAGGGATCTTTCTCAGAATTCGAACTGAAACACTAAAAGGAGTTGGTTGTTTTTATAGAAAGTTTTTTAATGGGATCACTTCCTCCATAAGATATTTCCCTATAAATATTATTAAGATCATAATATTTTCAAAACGTTGTAAGAAACTTGACAAACATGATATTTGTAGGTTGTACTCGTCACGGACTAATCTCGGTCGAGATACCATCAAAAAAGGGTATGCTGAGCAACTATTACGACTTCTCAGTAGTAAACATTTACGAACCCACTAACAATCGAATTCAGAATCTTCAAGTCTCGTAGAAAAGAATAATTAACTACTAGAGCCACTTCGTTGGCGTCCAATCGTATAATTTCAACCTTGATCAACTTGCGAGATAGAGAGATCAATAATTCATGACGAATACAACCCATAAATAAAACCAATCTCCAAAAAACCCTTTCAGCTGCACAACTGATATGTTGACTTGGTGGTTAGTTTTGATTTTCATAATGACCCGGATAAATTACCTCAGTCTATGTACTTATTTTTTCGAAAGATAGTTTACAGACAAAATTAAAATATTATCAGAAGAGAGTTTTGTGGAGATTTTAGTTATTTAGTAGTTGAATTCATGAGTCAATTAAAGCTAGACCACCATGGAAAACGTGGAAGCAATGGAAGGCAGTTTCATCCTAGCATGGGACTCCTCAGCAATGTGCATTCATTATTCCGCCCGCGAGACCGATAGGTCCTGAGTTCGAATCCCGCGAGCGAAACCGTTAATTTTCTGATAATTAATAACTGTACTGTCCAGTTTCAATTGGAAGAGTACTACTATATTAGGATTAGAAAACCTCAAGTTGTGGGATTTTAATCGTAAATATTAACTGTTTTACAAACGAGGCTGTAAAAGTTGATGGGAAAATAAGAATCTGGACGTGTTATTAGATTAAATGTAGATTTACTTCAACCTCGGTTCAACAGTATAGAAAACAAATCACAGATTTCCATAATCAGCTGAAATGTAGGAGTTCAGTCTTTAGCCAATAATTCGCGGCTTAGAATCTACCCCCTCCACCTACTTTAGTTTAGATAACTGGATAGTATCACCAGCTCTCGGACTTTAAATGTTGCTCGAAGTCAAGTACACATATTGGCAGTACTCACAACTGTGTGTGTTACTGATAAATAGAAAAATACATAGATGATTTCTAAGTACTCATGTCGCTTAACAGTAATACTTCCTTATTTCATTATATTTAATGTCAGCAATCCCAGTTTGTAATCTTGATCGACTCTGTGTTAATTACACATTTGAGAAATTAGAAACTCGAAGACGAGAACTTTGGAATTTACAAATAAATGCCAAATTTTGAATTGAACTTATTTAGGTAAAACGATAAAACGTTCTGCCTCAATAGTCAAACGTTAAAGAAAATATAAGGATTAAATTACCCTGATTTGGCTTGATAAACTAATGTATCAACATGCGAGGCTATTAACTACAACTGCTTAATAACTACATTTAAATTTGATCTAAGCAAATAAAAAAAATGGGGATTTTTTTACCTGGGCTTCTGAAATACAACGCGTAGTTGTCGACTGAGCTTGACGTATCAAACGATCAGCTTTTTCTCTCAATACATCATCACTATCATCATCAATGGTATAGTCATCCACGACTAATTCAGATGATAATACATCTTTCTGTTGATTAGTTTCATAGGAAACTTCTTTACTGGTTAATTCTTCTTCAGTGAAGACAGAATTTAATTTATCCTCATTTTGAACATTGTTTTCATCGACAGAATATTCTTGTGATGAATTAGAGTCAGTAGAGGTATTCGAAATTTCAACTTGTTCGTGAGTTTCAACTTCGATAAAGTCATCATCATCATCGTTATCATCACTGCTACTTTTGATCTCATCATATTTATCCTGATGGGGTACTTGTAAAGATTCTGATTCATGTATATCAGAAGACAATACATTAATTTCAGCAATAATTTCATCATTTTTGACTCCCATAAGGTCACATGAATGTTCTGGAATAGGTAATTCGATAAACTCCGATGAATTATCAAACTTAGGAATAGTAGATGAACTTTCTGGAAGAATGTCATTGGACATATTATCATTTAAAGAATTTTTCGTAAGTGGTTGATTGTAATTTTCGCAATTATCATTAAGTTGACTTTTATTGTCAGTCACATGTGATAGGATAGACACTTGATGTTCATCTGAATATTCCTCTATATTAACTAGTTTTATTGGTGTACATTCAGAGTTATATAAAATATTTTCATTTGTAGAAATATTTGTCTCTTGTGTTGAACATTGGTTTTCACTCATATAATCGTCATTAGGTATTTCTTTGTTCTGGTCCTTTTTTGAAATTTCCACTTTTTTGCATTCATCAGACACGTTTAAGTTCTCAGTATTATATGTAATTAATCTTAGTAAAACAGAAAAAATTGTATGCATGTACAGAAGGTTTACAAAAATTGCTTTTGAGCATTCACTATTAGAAATGACAATATTTTGAATAAATCAATCCTACTGAATAATTTAAACATGAAGCCATTCTATCGAATAGCTTCTATAATACTAAACATGTCAACATAGTTGTTATAGACGAATACTTTCATAGACTAATCATTTGAACTAATTGTGTGAGAAGAAATTTACTCAGGAGAAAAACTTGAATTTAGCACTTTTACAAGACTAGCCAGAGCCTTTGCCTACACTCACTCTTAGTGATGGACTATCAGAATTAGTAGAAAAGCTCGTGCGCCTGGATAGCCGTATGTGATGGTGGTGGAATGTCAGATGAGAGCGATATACGTGTAGTGAAAGTCAGATTGGCTTACAACAGTCTAGGCCATCACTGACGTCATCGTAATGTTAGTGTGGTTGTGAAAGGCTGGGTTTACAATCCTGAGGTGAGAGCAGTTATGATCAATACTTGTGAAACCTGATCTCTCTGAGTTGAAGATGTTCGACTACTCTGCGTTCGATCATCATCATTGTGTCCAAAGGATTAATGACAGTGACAACACAATGTTAGTAATGGGGAAGCTGGATAATGTGTGATCGTAGACAATGACGATAATCCGATTAGTTTCCCCATCTTGAAATACCGAATTCGGTGGCTTGAACATGTAATACGAATATCGTCTGAGCGAATTCCAAATCGTGTATTATTTTCCGATGCCTTGACCGATTGAAAAGAGCGGAGAGGTGGTCAGTGTATGACATGGTAATGTGGTACGAAAGGATGTTGTATAGGGCCGAGGTTTCTCGGTTTTTAAAGACTCCCCGGCAGAGGTCCGAGAGATAGTGCAACTCAGGGGCTTGAAGCATTGTCAGACATGGATCGAAACAGAAACCAATTGTGATACTTCTGTAATCTATTTTCTTCATAAAAGTGAGAGGAACTTCATGAACTGAAAGGAAGGATTTCTTCTAGATATATTTTTCTAACTGGACTGCTTCTCGCATTACCTACTACTCTTATCTATTAATCATTTTTTGATTATATTCATCCTACTTCGTCCATCTCTTCACTTATTTTTGTATGGCGCATATTTAGTTTGGTTCTTATTTGTATCGACACATATGTGTTTAAATAAATAAGTGTACAGACGTGTAAAATCATCATTTACAAAGCAATCGTCTTCATTTTGAATGAAACCACTGTTATTTGACTTAAAAGGAAGATATTTGTTGAATGACAAACTTTGTATGGGTTTAATATTTCGTATTGAGTATATGTGGTGCACTGGAACTGAGCAAGTTCGCTTCTACTCATCAATATTGAACATAATTTTCTGAGAACAAATTATACTTTATCCATGTAATGTAAACTTGATCGATTCAACTTTAAGTAAAGAGGCAAAATCAACAGTCTGAAACAAGTTTTTCAAATAATAGACAAGTATCTAACGGGTTCTTCCACTGGAATTCAAAATCTACCATATTTACTGCATTAGACTTTGTTTGAGTCTTACAGAACTGTTTAGAATTATCAGTTTATTTCGGAGAAGTCAAATGTCGTAAATTCATCACATTTTAATAATAAACAAAGTCGAGAATCCCATTAATTGATCTTTCAAGACAATAAACTGAAGAAGCCTTGCCTCCACATGCCCTAGCAACTACCTTAAAAATGAAGTGCCTAAGTGAAAAATGTCCGCGTGTGAGGTCGAAGGTTTTGGGTATGATCCTCGAGTGCAGGGCCATGGATGCCCACTGATGAGAATTCCCATACTATGACGAAACGGTTCTCTAGTACTTCCAGGTTTCCAATAGTGGTCTAGCTTAGATCAGTTCAGAATTTCAATGATATATGTCTATATTCGAGCTTTCGAAGAATATACTCACTTTTCAAGATTCAATGTTGTAGATGAAGGCAATTTAGTTCGTTCGTCCAACTGATTCACTGGAGATTTTTTAATGAGTATAGCATGTCCTACATCTTGTGACTGAATACGCATAGCTGTAGCTATGGTCTCAGTAGTCTCTGAAGCAGTAGTCGGCTGTGTCGTATTGGAAAACGGTAAAGTTGAAAATAACGATTGATTCGTTAGAATATTTTTTATCATAGAATTGTTTAACTGAAGAATTTGTTGAACAGCTTCTTGTTTAGTTAGATTATCAGATAACTCTTGTTGACGTTCTGCTAAACGACGACGTAAAAGCAAACGTTTCATTTGAACATCTGAGAACTGTTCTGGATTAAATTGTGCTTTGTGCAAAGTTAGAAAGAAAAAAAGATGACTGATTATGATGCGAAATATTTCATCAATGACTGTCAAGTTTCATTACAGTGCTGCTTCTAAAGAATACTGTTTATATAGAATATATGGAATGCGGCTAGCAGTGGAATTCAGGATGCGCGTGTTTTTCTATTTGAGACTTGCTAGTCGAAGGTCCTAGGTTTCAGTCCTGAACATATGATCGAGGATACTCACTTTTAAGGAGTCCCATACTAGGAAGAAACAGGTGTCTAGTGGTTCTAGGTTTCCAACGGTAGTCTAGCTAAGATCCATTTGTGACTTACACTATGAAAATTCTGCAACCTCCACAAACCCCTCCATTCTGAAGTAAATAGAGGAAGGTCTTAAGTAAAAGTCAAAAATAAACACTGTTATGAAGGACGTTTTCAGTGATTGATGAGAAAATTTTCTGACTGTTATAATTAGTGGAGTAGAATGCTGGTTGATAGATGAACGAGATGATATGATGTGTGGCTGAATGATGGGTGCTAACAAGAAAGAACTATTGATGTAAGCCTCCGAATAATTAGAACTCAAAGACAAGACCACTCTAGCCAGATGAACAGATATATTTTGTTTAATAAAATATGCTTATATACAGAATATGAACACAAAATAAGCACAATCAATTTTCATTGGCGATTGAAGGATTCGCTTCTGAAGATTACTTAGCCTACAACCAATTAAGGCCTGTTTGTTAAGCTAAATGTTTAGGCATCGTAACACATTAGTATTAAATTCAAGTTTTTTCAAATAGTGGTCAGTTTAAAGTTTTAGGGTGAAAAAAGTTGAGTTAGGTAATTGGCTAAGGTTTTCTTCACTATTTAAGATGAGTTATTAATATAAATTGAAAAGATTTTAATCGCCACACATCTACTTCTGTTGACTAGTACCTGAGAATAACTGGGACTAGAAAAGAATTATAGAATGCGACATGAATAATAAAACAGTTAGGCCATTAAATTAAGTATTAAATTAAAACAGCTTAGAACCTAGTACTCAGATTTAAGCTACATATTTTGGTGAGAAGGCTAGAAAAACAAAAGCGGTAGGTTCAAATCTGTGTACTGATAGGTGGAAATTGTAAAGTGTATTAACTAATAAGCTACTGTTGAGTGAATCTGAAAACGTACTAAACTATTTTCATTAGCACAGGCACATATACACATAAAATAAGTGCTCAGTCGGTTAGCTGTAAGCAACGTGGAACTAAGTATACATGTGAATCAAGATACAAAACCATTATATCAGTAGAACAAGATGAAATTATCCAGATAAAAAATATAGGTACTCACTTTACCTTCATCATCAAATTGTACTAAATTGTTACGGCATGAACTAGAGTCTAATATTTCTCTCAACAGCTGAACAACACGTAATTGAGCTTGTAAAGGAAGTGCACGGAATGCATCTGAGTCGAGATCAACCCCAGAAAACTTCTTATCCGATGAATAGAAAGCATCCTTAAAAAATCGTTTAAGAGTCAACTATATTAATACTTATTAGTGGTATTATTATTAGTTGACAACATACAAATGTAATACAACATAAGTATCAAAAGAGGTATCGTCGTATAGTGGGATTAACATTGAAGCGTTAAAAAAAGATAAATAAAGCTACACATTTTGTGATAAACGAATACTTTAAATTGAATGACTGGTTTCCAATATCAAAAGATGTTACAACTGAGTTATCACTGAGCTAATCGAATTCTATAGCCCTCAAGTTGCAATGTGATCAACTAGTATACGTGTGACTCGATATCGTGTCCCAACTAGCACAAAACCTAAATCCCGAGTTTCCTGCTGACTACATAATGCACGCGATGACGAGTCACTTCAACTAGTGGCTATATTAAAAATCGTTCAATACAATTCGATCAACTTTTAAATGACCAATTATCCATAAATATCTGTCCTACAAGAGTTCAGTCACTGCCCAAATAGTTCAATGGTAAAATCTCAAACTCGGTTTAAATCGTACAGTGGGTATCGATCCCCTTAAGATTGCAGATATGATTTGTTAACAAATGTTGACTAGTTCTAACTACTTAACACATCAAGTGTATTAATTTATTCCGCTATAAAAGTAGTTATATTGTAAAAGAGATTCTTCTGATTCACTTTCTTGAATACAACAGATTTCGATGTATCAATATTTGGACTTTTCAACAGCCTTTTAGATCGTTTAATATATAAATAAATCTGGTGTGATGCCCAGAGATTAAACCTAACAGTCAAGTCTTATCTGATTTACTACAATTCCCTCACGAAGCTAGTCATTAGTAAGCACATGAAAATTATCAGTATAGGGGTTGTGAAGATTATTAAGTTTTTGATTGAGATCATGAACCCATTGATGTTTGACCGACAATGAAAACCTGGAAACACTGGATGGCCCCTTCGTCCTATTGTGGGACTCCTCAGCAGCACGCGTTCACGATCCCGCTCGTGAGATTCGAACACAGGGCTTTCAGTCTTGCGCGCGAACGCTTAACCTACTCGACCAGTGGGTCGTCCCACAGTAGGACGAAACAACCATCCAGTGCTTCCAAGTTTTCAATGGTGGTCTAACATCAATCGGTTCATGATCTCAACCAAAAACTTAATAATCCCCACAACCCCTATACTGATAAATATGAAGTTTATCTTGTCTTAATGTTTTGCATATAATCGTGTTATTTTATCACATCAGTAAGATCTACTCATCTGACTAGAGTGATCTTGTCTTTGATTTCTAATCATTCAGAAACTAACACCAGTAACTCATTCTCCTAAGTACCCAACACTCGGTCACGCCGTATCATTGGGCTCATTTATTGATTAACATTTCACCTATTGATTTTAATAATAAAGAATCGATTTCAGTAAACCATTAAAAATTTCTTCCATATCTTCTATACGTTGAAGATCTTTATACTTTTTCTGATTTAGCAGCAAGTTCACAGAACTCAAACTAATGTATTAAGAGGTTTAGCCTACTTGAATTTATTTAATTAGACAGTTACCCGAGGGACTTTCTAGACATATCATTCATGATATAGAACTACCAAAGTGAAATAATTAATACTTCTTTGGTATAAAGTTTAATACGTTGAAAATCTAGTGTCTTTAATATCAGCCGAATACAGATTAACTGAAATTACTATTTTTTTAAAACTTTAAATACTGATGCCGTCACCACTAAAAGTAATATATTTGCATATATCATTAGTGTTCAATAATATCATGTTATTTTGAAAAGCCGCATGTTCTATATTGACTACTCTCTGACCAGGTCTTGTACACATAAAATATATACTTCGATTTAATGGTAGATATTTTTGAAAATCAAAGATATAATTATAAGTTTACCCAATTTGAGGATGACAACTTAAGTGAAAAGCAGATTCTATATACACTACCAATGTTGGTAAAAACAATTACTCCTGTCTAATAAGTATATTAAAATAGTGGGGGACGCTATATCCAAGTATTTATAACTTTTGTTGGGGATGATAGACCATCAGGAACCATTTGGTAAACGTCTTATTTTTGTAATTTTATTTTGGAAATTTGAACTTTCCCTTTTCGTGTCAAAAGCGCCCATTTTTATCCTCAGATTGTATTTCCTAATTGGAAGGACCCTAAATGTCATTAGTTCGTTTCCTCTTTTAGTACGCTATTTTGTGACGTTTTCCAAGGGCATTTTTGTATTGTATATATGCGCATCAGTTGTGTGCTTTTTCGTTCGTGCTTCCGACTGCTTGTAGGATATACATTGTCCTCGGCTGGGGCACAATGGAATAGTTTAGTTTGTCTTATTGTTGTGTTGCTGCCTTTCGTTTTATTTGCCGGTTTTGGGTGATATCGTGATCTCTTCAAACGTAGGAGTTTTGTTACAGCTTATAGCAAGTTATAACTTTAAGCAGGGATTTATTTGAGTATTCACTATATCTATTCAGATTAAACATTCCTGTAGATTTGTTATTATTCCTTATCCAAGAATCTAGCTACTCTCCTATCTATTTGGGATACATAAAAAATACAGTGAATTGATGAACGAATATTGAAGTCTTTTGAACACTTTCAGTGATAGGAATGCGAGAATAATTAGAATACATTTCCTTTAAGACGTATGCATTAATGATTAGAATGATATTAAGAAATGTAGTCCAACAAATCAAGCACTACGACATTGCGGGACCATCTTCCATTGTCTTCGGTGGGTAACTACCTCACACCATACACGGTTGAACTCCACTAGGCACGGCTTCTCACTAGAACTCTATAAATTCTCTCTTAAAGCTAGTTACCAGTGAGATGACAATTTTCAGTACGTGGTTATTCATGAAATCAACAAAATACAACACTACACAACTCTATACTGAAAATCAAACTACTTGACTTCGAAGTCTGATTAACCCCTACTGATAAAATTAAGCCATGTGTACAGAAGCCTCGTTACGTTTTCTATTAATCTGCCTCTCTTATGAAGTAGACAAGACTGCTACCTTTCTACTGGACGATGTATGTCCTGTGTAACAGTTTATTATTGTACTAACATAAAGCCCAACTTTAGGAAGCGAAAAACGTGTATAGTCTGCATGTGTTTGATAATAAGTATCTTCAAATAATTACTCGCTGATGGTGGGACCACATGCAGAGCACTGACGATATATGATCTAACAAATGTGACAAATTAGTTAAGGAGATCGACACCAGAGTAATTCGAACATATGATACGCATTTACTGAGCCATTATCCATCACTACAGTACAGGTTATTACTAACCGAATAAAAGAAAATCTGATGTGATTAATCTAAGAAGACTACCTACCAGATAATCATGCGCCAGCTCATCGTATTCTAGACCGGCCTTTTCACTCAACATACGATTATTATCATTACTACACGCTGCGGAACTACAATGTAGAGAAAAAAAGGGAATTATACGCATCCGAAAAATTATTTCTTCTATATACAATAATTAAATAACCAGAGTGATTTAAACTCATTTTCTGTTGTAGGTGAATAAGCAACGCACCAAGAAAACGAAATCACTGAACAATCTGATCAATGATTTGCTTATACAACAAGCAATAATCAGTAATATTGAATAACGATTAATATTAAACTACAAACAGAAAGTAATCACCACTAACAAATAAGTACAGTCAAAATTTATTGGAAAAGTAAAAACCTCGCTTGTTTTGAAATGATTTTGGTTAGTGTGAATAAATCACTTAGTTCAGTTTAAACGGTAAGGATGTACCCACAAGCACATAATAACTCGATTTTTTGTATTAGATAACAGGATAGTGAAGGCAACCTTAGTGGTTAATTCCTCACTCATTTATCATTGCTTAACTTAATTAAAGGATCATTGCCACCTATTCTGAAGTAGCTTACTTGCGATTCTTCTAAAATGATTTTTGACATTTTAGTAAAGGAGTATTTGCGTGCTCGAGTGTGTCTAAAAGCAACCAGTCACATTAAATAAATTTCCATATCTAAAGAGTTGCAAAATGTCCATGATACCTAAAGCACGATAAGTCATCTCAGAACCGCATCAGCAGTGAAAAATATTTTGATGTCACATGCACGAAACGAACCAACTACTTGCAAAAAATAATAACAAGTCATATTATCAACAAACGCGCCTCTTAAAAATTTCAGATCAATGATCACGAAAAGTAAGTGAAATTAAAGGAATTTATTATCAGTATGGGGATTGTAGAAATTGTTGAATTTAATTGAGATCACAAGCCAATCTACGTTAGACAACTATTGAAAACCTTGGAAGCACTGGACGGTCGTCTTGTCTTAGTATGAGACTCCTCAGTAGTATGAATCCGCGATCATGAAACCAGGAATCGAACCCAAGGCCCCCGATTTCGCGTGTGAATGCTTAACCTCTAGACCACCAGGCTGGAGTCCGACGGTGTACAAGTCTAGTTCCAATAAATCCATGAGATTCCACGACCATCTCCCTTCGTCTTTGATGGGCAGTTTTTCACATACGAAACAGTCGAACACTGGTCACGGCTTGTTTAGGTTATAACGCTCAGTTTTACTTTGTACACACGTATGGGACGCTAATTTACCTTAGACGAATATCTACACTAGATTCCCTCCCAGTGTCCATTCTACAGGACTTCAACACAACTCAGATCAAGAACATGTGATTAACCTGACCACAACGTAAATATATTTCCATTCCAAAAACCCGACACAATCCAACAACAGTGAACAATCAATAATAAGTGAGTGTCTCAATAATAATAAGGATAGGGGAATATATAACTCATCTGACACCTATCAGACTATCTACATGTCTGACTAAGCAGACAATCATCCTAAAAATTTTACTATGAGTCTGCCACATTACATTCATTTCTGTGTCCAGTGAGATTTCACTAATTTTACACACAAAAGAATGTTTTATTACATCGAGTGAACTCTTAAAAACACTTTTTATATTTATGATAGGTTCATAAACCTACAATCACTGGTATACAAAAACGATACTTACGTTGAGTCATGATTTGGAGCTGAGAACATCTTAGCATCTTCTTTAGCTTGATGCGAGTCTGACTGTTGTCTCAATCGTCTTAATAGTTCATTTTTCGCTGTAAATAAGCAGAGATAGAAAGTTTACTAGCAAAAGATAGGTGTACATATTTCCACACAATTAATCATGAACTGACTTTAGTTAGATCACTATTGAAAACCTGTTCTGTTTCAGTATGAGAATCCCCAACAGTATACATCCATGAACCCATCACCAGAGACTGAACTCAGGACCTTAGGTCTATGGTACAAATCACATAAATAAATGAGCTTTCAAGTTAACTAAAAAATTGGGAACAAACAAGAAATCTGCGCACGAATTCAAAAATATCAGTTGGATCATCCAAACATACTTGACATGTGGCACAAACAAAACATTCGTCTGTTAGCCAGTGAATGAGTATACCGAGCAGCAGTTCGAGTTGTTCTATTGTGTGTCTGTGAAACATGATACTTGAAATGGAGGATATTCATAGGTTACTAGTATTTGATTACAGAATCCTTCGGAGAATTACTTGAGTATGTTCGAACTGCCGAATAAGAAATAGCAAAGTTAGACAGATAGTACTAGTTAAAGATAGGAAACCTGTAGATGAGGTGGTGAATATTCATAGAATGAGGTAGTTGGGTATATATAATACATATACCCAACGACCTCTTATCTCGACCTGCGCTGTCGTCTGGTGTACGAGGTTGTACGAAAGTCAGGGGTGGCCAGACCAAGACGTGGTATCAGTCCATGAAGTCACTGACTACTGGACTGAACTTTGTTGGTCGATTTAGACCACCTAGATGGGGTCCATTTGATTATCCTAACCAGTAGCTGAAAGCGTTGAGTGATGTGGCTCAGAATCTGTCTCAATGATGCAGATGAATTCACTATGTTATACTTTGGATTCTGAGGTTTACACATTTCATCCCATGGATCTATTCTTTCTTCTAGAATCATATATTCTATGCCTAATCTTGTCTACTGCTACTTATACGGTTACTAACTCAAACACCCTGATATTTGTCTTCATAATTTCATCTCGCTCTTCTAAGGTAGTGTGGTGACTCGAAGCGATGCATTAATGTGCCATGTTCTACGTTGTACATGATTGACTGACTTCTCAACTGATTTTGTTCACAGCATTCACATAATATTATTCAACTATTATACATTTTTGTAACTAACTCGGAGGCAGAAAATTAGCCTACGTTGTTGACAAAACTTTCCTCTGAATGGATTCATAATTATGTGGATGGATTAAACTACTACGTAGTCAGAGGCCCATCGATAGTCAGCAGAAATGCAAAGGTAAATGAAGGTAAATTTTCTATCGATAATCAGTTACAAACAAACTCATCAGAATAGACTGGTTTGATGCTTGTGGAATAATTAGAATGTTTACTTCTACATGGAGTATCTGATGATGGATGCTATTTGGAATGACAAGAAAAGTTTTCCAGTTAAAATATCCAGGTCACAGAATACTAAAAAAAACAACACCAATCATTTCTGCTCGAAGATGTGTCAAAATTTCACATTAACTTATAATAATGATTCGATCATAATATTTTATCTTATACACAACAAATACTTTTTGGCTTAATTAAATAATGTAGCTTTAACTAACCAGTATCCTCAAAATATTCTACTTTATCCGGTGACGTTGACAGTGATTTTACAGAGGATTCTGCAACACGACGTAAAAGTCGACGAAGAAGATGTTTTTGGGCTTTTTCTGCTTTTGCTTCGGTTAGGCTACGCAACTGACGTCTTGAATTCTAAATAATACAAAATCAACATTCGAAATGTGACGGACTCTTGTACAGGAAGCTTGGGTATCAGTGTCAGGATCAGACACCGAAAAACATAACATTAATAAATACCTTATTCTTATACAGTGTTTTAAAAATTCCAGGATCAAATGCGAAATGTAGTTAATGTCAAACTGTACAATTGCTAAATTAAATTATTAATATTATGAATAGGATTATGATCGATAGACAATGTACAATGATACAATGTGGTTTATTGTTAACTACTTACGAGATCAAGTTACTGACACAAGCCAAAAAATAAACTTAAATCAAACTACCAGGTTATTTTTTAATGCATGGTTTTTTCCAAATTTAATCTCACCTTTTAAACAGGATTAAATTTTATTTATGAGATGCGAATTGAATAAGTCACTCACTCGCCAATGAAATTACGATATGACCAATAGGCTAAATCCTCATTCGTAATTTCAGTTAATTACCAGGTTTATATTCATAAGCAATATCTTCTATGAAGGGTATAAAAACATTCAGATTATACCTATAACTTAATTAAACTTTATACACAAGCCAGTAGCGATTTGTTTACAATGATGTAGAAGTTCCGTTTAATCTTTGATGAGGTAGATAAAACTAACTCCTACTGACGAATTCAAGCACTTTTGATCTATCAACGTAATGAACTTTATCGAAACAGACAAAAGTAAGTAATATCAAAGACTATTTACTGGGTGATAAATTATGATGAAATATTGAATTATTATCGGTATAAAATGTATGTGAATACTGTTCAATTCGCAGCTAATTTACATCACAAAAAGCAATCAATAACCAGTGGACGTCAGACGAGTGTTTCGTCCCAGTATGGGATTACTCATCAATGAGCACTCATGACCGTGACGAAAATTGATGATTATGAAAGGATTAGTATGAATAAGACATAAGTTGTCTCGAAAATAAAACAGATCGATTGAGAAATGTCGGTGATTTTCCAGAAAATCAGAGAGAATTTTAAATTTAACATTTTTTCAGTTGTTCAATTTTGCCGCGAAACAGGACAACTGAATTCTCCAACTAATTAAATCACGATTTTATAACACCATAATAATATTAACTCTTCATACAATGTGTCACCCACAGATCGGTACACGGATTTGTACACAGGTACTATAAAACACGACACCAAGAAATACCATACAAAGAAAATGAGACTGTGAAGAGGTAGAAGAATGAAAGGTTACACAATCAGTAAATAAACGTACAAGAGTAATATTCACCAAAAAACACAACTTCTGTTCTAATCTGTGTCTCACAACGTTTCGATTTATTTATTTATTTGGACACATGAATATTGGTACAAGATAGCGCCAATATGTATGCGCCACACAATACACTGAGTATAATCTCTAGGATCCCCGACGGAAAAGTCGGGATAGAGCGACAGATCACAGTTTTTCAAAGTCATCTTTTATACTGTGGAGCTATGTCATAAACTCAATAACCCTTCGTTTTCCTTTCCTCAGTCCAAGAGTCGAAATGCGATCTAAATAACAATAAGTCTTTGAGACCTGGCTCCACCTTTTGCTGAGGTTTACTAAATAAGGGATTAAAATCGCGCGAAATTTAATGGTTTACATAAGGAATGTACGACACATACAAAATGAGTTGTGGATCTCCAGTCAACCTAAAGTGTGTTATGTTCCTATCGACTACTTATCTTTATAAAATCTATCATGATTTGTAAGAGATAGCTACTGATCGTTTGTGTATGTAACACTGTATGTTAGTTTTTATTTTAGGGATAGTTTCTTCCTTGAAACAACAATTCCACTATTCTTTATTTTCAGTGCTATAACCTACAGTTGGCAAATACCGGAATGATGAAATCAGCAAACTACCCGGGTGAACAGTTTTAATAGTTATCCTATATATTCAATTGCTATCATGTTTGCAACTTAACACATTACAAGGAATAGAAATATTAAAATAAATCCATATCATAACTAATGGGAAGTGGAGTACTCATTCATTTATATCAGCTACTCATTACAAAATATGTGATACGGTTCAAAGAATTTTAAATAGAAAATACTCACCATAGTTGATCGTTTCAGTGCTGGAGTTTCACCATCGAATACAAATACTGGTTTGATTCCAAAGAAAAGTAATTTGCATAAACGACGAAAAAATATAGCCAAATAGTTACGAGGACCACCTGCTGCGCCTCGAGATTTTACAGCTTGATGCAACCAGATGTTCATATCTACGGTGAATACCATAATGAAGTAACATGCCAAAGTAAATAACTATTTTAAAGTACCTTTTTACTGAAGCTGGATGACTTAAAAACAGTTAATCATAATTTCAAGTAGCAACGAAGATTATTTGGAAGCGGAGAAATTTTTTGACAATATAATAGTTATTTAAATATATTTATAGGATACTTAAATGCACAGTATCAATCATAGAACATTAGATGAACATCGTGTATACACACTGGGGTGAGGTTGACAGTTGTTAAGTCCCAAAAAAGATTATCATTGAGATAACCTCTTAACTTTGAACTTTAAAACAGCCGTCCACAGAAACGTCAACAAACTCTGGTAAGAACATTTTAAACAGCAAAATAGACATTGTTGCTGCTTTATCACAAATTTATTTAAACACACAAGCATTGGTAAAAGGAGGCACCACATAAATATGCGCCAGACAAATCATTCGGCCTGTGTGAGGGTAACACAATGACAGGTGTACAACTTTAGATGTATTCATCGGTTAGGGTGACAATACAAGGATGTAGGCTTTTTGTTTCATCGATCAGAAATTGCACTACAATTGCAAGAGTTGGAGTGACCCTTTGGATTGGTGATAAAGTTTAGCTTAAGTGCCTGAAGTTTTCAGGTTGATTAGGGAGTAAGTGTAAAAATGAGTTAGTTGGGTCCTTTGTCATAAAACTACACATTACGAACAACAATTTCTAAATCATGGAAGAAGGGAAGAAGCTGAAGAATACAATTGTGCATTATAAACAACGGAAGAGGTACAGAGGAGTAATGAATAACTAAAAATAACAAAACTACTGATAATGTTTCTTTTCTAATATCAAGGATGGTAGGAGACCCGCGTACCAATGGAAACAAAGCTGAGGAATCTAGGAACCAAGGCTGTTTGACATGGAAGTTATAAAACGGTTTCGGATCGCTTCGTTGGTGCGAAGGCGAAGTTTGACATGAGAGCTCGTTTGGATACTAAGAGACTGTGAACCTAAAAATGGACAGACCCACTCCTGATATAACGTCTTTAAAGGTATTCGAAAAAAGTAGTGACTGTAAGCGTCGTTACCAGATAATATTTCTTGTCATCTCAAATGATATTTCTTCAAACGTTGGCACAAGAACCTGTGATTTTTGGCATATATTACTTGACACTAAATTACACTTTTGACAGTCTAAATATTTAAACAGCAACAAGATATCCCAATAGACGATAATAAATACCATCAGTATAACTGACATGTTTAATATAACTATCTTCCTTCAAAAACTGGAGAAGCTTAAGTAATAGATCAATTTACTCAAAACTACGTAGACTTTTTAAGGTAAAGCAGTCGTCTATTAACTCCTAAAAAGTGGCTAATGGGAATACGTCTAATATTGAGTAGCATGTTGACAGACGAATATCAGTTTCATCATTCCTCACTGCATTTGAAGGTTGTGAAAAACATGTAATTATTTGGCTATGTACATAAAAACGATTTTATTGACTCAAGATTCTAATGGAACTTGCAAGATGCATTTTGGATTTATCATTTGTCAAAGGCAGACGTCACTGTAATTAGTTCTAATCGGTCGTCTTTTTGGAGCACATTTTACAGCTTTGTATTAGCCAAACTGCAGTCACTGAGTACACAGGAAAAGACAAAATTGGATACGATATGCCCTTAGAAGTTGGATCGGAGAGCAAAGTCAAACACAATAGGAACGTGTATAAATTGGGATACAAATGGCTGAATTTACTTCTCCAAGACTACCTAAAGAAGAAAACAAAGACTGTTACTCATGCATAATAGTTTATTATGATGATAGGCTTGAAGACACTACTGGTCAATAAAGACAGTTTTAAGGACAATAAAATAACAATTTATTCGGTTACTAACAATAAAACGTCAGATAGAGGACTTTGAAGGTAAGTTAAGCCTACTATTGGTACAAAATAATAATAAAAAAAATAAATAGACTTGCCTATTGCTATAATTTTCCCAGATAGCTGTTGTAATTCTATGGGCTCTCTTGCCGGCTCTAACAAACGCCATAAGCCAGGAACTCCCATTAGAAATGAGTAAAATGCCAATCGTCGGATCGCAGATGTGATGTTAATTGATTGATCTAGGTCCACTTAAACATCTACAGTGAACATGGTGTTTAATTGCAAGAAAAACATTTTTGAAAATAATTTTCTCAGATAATTGGAGTAAAAAAACTCGACTATTCACCAAAAAGTTCGTTATCATCAATACATTGTGCGTGAATACGTGTTATGGAAAAGTAGATATTTTCAAAAAATAAAGATTTTATTCATTGATCCTTCGATCGCATGAAGGCTTATCGACAGTTCCATAAGCGTCTCCTTTAATTATGTTGTTTCTGGAAATATGCGTACTAAGATTTTTGCGAATAATCGGCTAGTATTTTCAGCAGTTCTAGTCGCAAAACTTTTCGGTCATTCCTTGTCATACACAGTGGAAGACAGCGTATCAATGCCTATGATCATCAAAACGACACAACTGAACAACTGCCTTTTTCCGAGTTGCTGTCGTTACAGTGGTACAAACTAGAATCTCGAAGAACATTATTGTCGCTCGTACTTACTTAAATATTCATGACTTTACGTTATTTTGCCTACTGCAATCATACCGACTATCGTATTTAATGCTTCAGCACCTAGTTTTCGTATCTTCTGTGTTCGCTGAATAAATTTTGTATCTACTACAGAAGTATAGAAGTCGAAAACGATCTTATTATCAGGGTTCAGATTCAGATCTACGTGCTCTAGTTCCCGTAGCTAATATTTACACCAATCATCAGACTCAAATTGTCCGACAATATTTAAAACGCTGGGCAACTTCCATATAAAATTTAGGGTTGATAAACCAGTTAGCGCCAACACTATAAGGATGATTATATGTCAAAACAAGGCTAGCTAACATAAAGATGAACATTTGATTATCGATTCGCAATCGTAATATTTACCACGTTAGTTTCCTACTTCTCATCGATAAAATTTAAATGTCATATTAAAATTATGAATATACTATCATGATTAAACTGATAACAGATAATCTATAAAAACACATTAGCAAGTCTTAAATATGTAACGTTTTAATACCCTTCCTACTTCACACTTTCTTATAGTATCGTATTTTACTCATACTCCCATAAACAGCATCCACTGAAATGCTGAGTAACGCAAACTTCGCAGTTTACTCACATTTTCTTCAAACCTCAATTCAAATGGTTCAAATGATTGTGGACGGAATAGAAGAAGCTTTCGCTTAACAGGCTTCCGTGTCTAGTAGCAGGGGATCACCAAATCCTCTAGGCAGGAACCTAGCTATGTTAACAATAAAAGAGGAAAAGAAATTGGTAAATCATAGTGTGATACTGTCGTTGGTCCTTAAGAATAGGTCAAGTTGCCTCTTGAAGGACTCCTGAGAAGTCGTTTAGACTAGCTCGGCCGGCAGCGAATTCCAGCATTTGACAACTCTTAAGGAGTAGAAGTTGTGTCTACATTCCGTCTTGCTATGTTGAGTTTCCAGTTTCTGGGTGTTATCCCTTAGGTTATTATTCAGACTAAGCTTAAGTAGGTGTTTAAGAGGATGTCCAGAAGTGTTAAGAATACTATAAGCCATTCATAAATCACCTCTAAGATGCCTATACTCTAATGGGTAAAGTTTGTAGTGTCAGTTATTATGGCAAGCCCATCTACCTTATTCTAACTTGTGGACATCCTATTTAATTCATTTTATTTGAGTCATATTTTGACCTTGTTAATTATTCGCTTATTAGCCTTGACCGTTTTCATATGAGAGTATGTGTGTACATTTCATGTCCCGTGACTTATCACATGTCTGTCGTTTATTTTGTCTGCCTATAAATATTAAGTAATGCCTAGCTTGAAATGGAGTTGGCTTCCCAGCCATCTTCCCTGCGCGTCATTTTTGCTTGGCTCTGTTTCATCCGCTTCATGTACGAAATATATGTATTGTCAAGTCAATTCTCGTTATTCGACTTATTTAATTCCGTTATTGGATAACGCGATCTAAGTCGACGATGATATATGAGAATAGGCGATTACAAACATTTATACGATCTAAATAGGAGTCAGATCACGGGCCGCCTCAAGTTCTAGTGAATGAAGGCGTTCTCCGTAAGGCTTAGATTTGAGTCTTCGAACTGATTTCGTGGCTCGCCGTTGGATACGCTCCAAAGTGACCTTGTCCTTTTGGAGTGAGGGGGAAGTACTATATTTGCGTACTCTAAATGGAGACGGATAAAACTATTGAAGATTATATGGAAAGTTCTACCGTCAAACTGGCCGAAAATGCGCTTCAATGTTACCAGTGCAAGGTTTGCTCGGAAGGCATTTTTGTCACAGTTAGCGTAAGACTTTAAATTGTAGGGCACCAAGACTCCTAAATCTCTTTCGACTCGGGATACTTCTGGAGAGGAGTTTCCTAAGTTATAAATGTAGTCTGCGACATGTCGCAGATGGACTACTTTACACTTTGAAGTGTTAAACGTAAGTCCGTTATCGTCTGCCCAACTTTGAAGTCGAGTCAGATCCTCCTGAAGTGCCTGTGTATCGTCTTGGTTGCGTATCTCTCTCCAAAGTTTCACGTCGTCTGCGAAAAGTAATAAGTCTGACGTTACCTGTTGAGGAAGATCATTTATGTAGATCAAGAAGAGAAGAGGCTATAATACTGAGCCCTGGGGGACCCCACTAGGACATTCCATAGCCTGAGATAAAGTGAAATTATGAAGTAAGCCAATCGATTAGAGGTGGTTTGATACCTAGTTGTTTGAGCTTATTGATAAGACACAAGTGGTTAACTTTATCAAAAGCTTTTGAGAAATCAAGGTAAATGATAACAACCTTTCCCTTGCGATCGAAGACGCTTGTTCATCTGTCCACCGCAGTCAGCATGTTGGTTATACAAGAGTAACCCTTCCTGGAACCATGCTGTTGGGGTGAGAAGAAATTTAAGGACAGTAGATAGTCATTTAAACCATCGCATATCAGGGACTCCATGATTTTTGAAGGTAATGACTGAAGAGCCACCGGCCGATAACTTGAAGGTTCATTGCGTCGACCCCCTTTGAAAATTGGTGTGATGTGAGCCAACTTCCAATTTTCCGGTAATTTGCCTCAGCTTAGCGAGTGTGAAAACATCACGCTAAGCGGCGTTGCCAGGATTGAGACTGCCTCCCTCAGTATGGCAGAATGAACCATATCCGGGCCAGAAGAAGTATCTAGTCTTAAGTGCTGCAGTTTCCGGAACACCAAGACAGCGCTTAGGTCCACTTCGGAAAATCCTGTGGAATTGCAGATGAAACTGTCGTCAATAAAGTTGATGTCAGCCGGTTGAAATGTTTGAGAGTAGTGTGCCGCCAGAAGGTTAGCGGCGTCACCATCGTTGTTGGTCGGGCCTTTAAGACCTAGCAGTTGAGAAACTCCTGTGTTTGGCTTGACGAAGAGAGGCTGCATAACGGAATAGGCTTCTAGGGTTAGAGGCAAATTTGCCCATAAGCTTTGTCTGGTACTGAAGCCTATCTTCTCTTATAGCCTTCGTGCATATGTTCCTGATATGTTTATATTGCCTATACGCTCCGTCGTTATTAGTTCGTTTGTATTCCGCCCAACGGTGCCTTATGCGGCTTAGCAGGCGAAGGGTACGGTTCTTGATTACTGTAGGTGGCTTGCAGCTTTTGGGAACCGTTTGAGGAACTGAATGGTTTGTAGCACATAAGAGCGTGTGCAGTAAGAAGTCCCAGTGACCGTCCACATCGAGTTGAGGGTGAACATCCCAAACCACCTGTTGTAGATAGTCATATAGAGCTGGCACATTCAGCCGTTTAAAATTCTAACGCAAATTATTGTTGGAATACCTTAGCTTAGTTTTGATGACAAAACTGAAGGCTATGACGGCATGATCGCTCTTTCCCAGAGGAGCCAGAATTGAGAGGTTGTCAACTAGGAATTCTTCGTTTGTGAATGCACAGTCTAAGCGCGATGGTATCTGACTATTTCTCCAACGAGTTGACGACCTCACATTTTCATATAAGCCCAAGTCATCGATGAGGTTAAAGAACCGAGCTTCAGTTGAGTTGTCGCCTTCAGTGTACGTGTGTTCCGCGAAGTTGAATCTAGGTAGATTAAAGTCCCCTAGAATCAGGATGTGCGTGAAACCGAGACGTGTAGAGCGGGATAGTCCTTCCAGCGTACGACTGTCGTACTCGATGTTGGCAGTTGGCTTCCTGTAAATGACTCCGACTAGACACCTCGAAGTACCAGGCAATCTTACAGAGCACCATATGGATTCCTCAAGATTGTTAAACTCGAGGTTGTGAACTTGATGCACCTCCAAGCAAGAGCTTATGTATATGGCTACTCTGCCTTCAGTTTCTGTTATTCTGTCGTTGCGAAACAAAGTCATCACAGGTAATGCTAACTCTTGGTCCGAGAACTGAGAAGATATCCAGCTTTCAGATATTCCTATCAGGTGGGCTTTATTAGCGTCGCTAAATTCACATAATTCATCCAGTTTGTTTGATAGACTCGGGGCCTTCATATATAAGCAGTTTATGCTTTCAATTTGGAACGCGTGAGCTTCGTCCTGTTTTTCTGTATGAGCCTTATGTGAATGGAAAGGTAGCCCACCTATGTGAGGTTTATCGAGGTGGTAGGCCCTGTCCTTTACACGTTTTTTTAATCATTTAGACAGTCCACAAGTGGACAAGTCAGCTCCAACTTGCCTTTGTGCTTGGTCCTGGCTTCATATGGCCTATCCGGGTGCATGTGGATTCCAGGTGGTAATCGACGTCTGTTGGCACGAAATGCTTCCAGAACTGCAGCCGCCATGTGACGGACTAATGAATGTAATTGAGCTAAACTTCTTCCTCCTCTTGGAGCATAAACTGCTGATGAAGAGGCCTCCAAACAATTCTGTTCTTGGCTCTCATTTTCAACTATCTTTAAATACTATTTATTTTTGATACTAAACGGAACTGTACACCATACATCGATTTTTTTGATTGTGAGAAAACATTTGATAGCTTGGATAAGAGAACCTTTTGGAATCTTGTTCGACAATAAAGAGTATCCGAGAAGATTGCGATCATCGAAGGAAGTTCCTACAAAGCAGTCCGTTGCAACGTTGTGTATGGAGGGCAGCTCAGAGATGTATTCAATGCGAAGACTAGTGTCAGAAAAAGTTGCATACTCTCAATTTTCCTCATCATACTAGTGTTTGGCAGAATTGTGAGGACCTCAACCCAAGGGAGTTACGGAAAACTATGGGCACATAGAAGGCAGTCGAATGATTTGGATTTTCCAAATGACAGTCGTATTATAGCGTAGACAGCAAAAGTTGTGGACGAAGACTGGCGGTGTGGCGGTAGATTTTGCTGAAGTAGACTTTAACGATGAGAATCAACCAGACCGATTTTGGCAACGAAGCCATGGAAGATGTAAATGCTTCTGGAATACTTAATCAACATCACTAACGAACAACCAGGACTTTCTGGAGGTGAAAACGGTTTCACATTTAAAGTAACGTCCAATGATATATGTAATAACATTTCAATCCAACTGTCTTAATAAAATCGGCAGTGAAACGACGGTTAAAATACACTAGAAATAAAAATGTGTCTTGTTAAAAGAAAGAGATAGGGTTGGAACCAAAAGATATAATAGGGAGAAGAGGCCTCACTTCCAACAGAACTTGTAAATTTGCGATGTTCATATACCCTAAATGGAGGAGTGATACTAGATGAGTGCCAGACATCACAAATCCGCCAAATTGTTTAAGGCGGACGAACCGACGACCCTTCAAACTACGCTTACATCGCACATCTGCCTTTCTACTGTGGATTGATGAATCGTTATTCTTGATTTCGAGGAAAATATGGATGCGATATACTTCAACTTCTTTTCATAGGGTCAGACATGTGCGTCTGATCAATAAGCCTAAACCAGCTCATTCAGATCACGCTGACAGACTGATTTAAGTTGCATCTAAAGAGTCGGCGTTTTAAGGCCAAAGTAAATTTCTTATTCCCGGAAAAGGGGCTCAGTACTTGGATCTCTGTTATTTTTGATTCATGCAAGTCTCCTTCTGCAAATATCTTCCGAAATATTGCACTTGGTGGTAGCTCTAGAGAGAAGCCTAAAAGCAGAACAATGAGATAGCACTTTGAGAGATGTGAATG